GAAATGCAAAACATCCTCTACAGTTTAACTCCATTGCCCCCACATTTTGTCTTTATGTTGTCTCAACTTATATAGTTTTATATTTTCTATCTCTCAACAGGTTTCTGTAGGCATTATTGTTTTTGATAGATTTATCTTCTGGGCTTCATACTAGAGTTATAAGTGGATTAGACACTGCAATTACAGTATTAAAGTATTTTGAGTTTGTCTGTGTACTTAATTTTATCTATGGGTTTTACACCTCCAAATGTTTTCTTTATGCACATTAGTAGGTTTTTTCTTTCAGGTTGAAGAACTCCCTTTAGCATTTCTTGTAATTCTTGAATTCTCTCAGCTTTTCTATTTGTCTAGGAAAAACTTTATTTCTTGTTCATATTTGAAGGATAGTTTTGCTGGATGCAGTATTTTGGGGATTATAAGTTTTAATTTTTCCCAAAACTTTGAAAATGTCATCCCACTTCCTCCTGGCCTATATTGTTAACATTGAGAAGTCCATTGCCAGCCAAGTTGGAGGTCTGTTATAGTCTCTTGCTCTTTTAGGATTCTTTTTGTCTTTCAACTTTGAGAGTTTTATTGTTATATACCTTATAGTAGTCTTACCTGGATCAGATCTTTTTGGTGTTTTCTGACCTCTTGTACAATTCTCTGATAAATATTTCAATCTGATGAAGTTCTCTGAATTTTTTTCTGTGTCTGGGAGATTTCTGAGTTTCCTTAAAATGCTATTTTGAATTCTTGGTCAGAGAGATCTCATATCACTGTCTCCTTAGAGTCAGTCTGTGGTCACTTGCTTTGTCCATTTCAGGAGGAAAGGTTTCTTGTTTGCTAATGTTTCTTCTGGATTTATACCTATGTCTTTGCATTGAAGGATTATTTCATATCATCTCTCTGGCCTTTTTTTATTGGCTATGTTTGTTTATAATTTTTCAAACTATTGATTCCCCCTCCCCCCCCAGGTCGCTGCCAAAATTGGCATTAGATGGTGGCTTAAACCCAGGTTTCCCTCAGTTATAGTAAACACTGAGGATGCCACTTCTCCCCAATGGGTGTGGTCCAAAAAGGATATCTCAGCAGTATGGGAAGGCTGGCCAGGGATTTGTGCCCAGGGGACCTGTGGAATAAATGTCCTACAATGTGTCACTACTGAACAGCCACTCTGATTTAGTGTCTCCTTTGGTCAAGTTACAGAGGAACATTTTCAGGGCTGGAGAGAGTAGTTCTGCCTTCCGCTTTATCTTGGCTGTGCTCAGGACTATTTGTTTTCGGGCATTCTCTATGCTTTGCATGGGTTGAGGCAGGGTCATGTCTCTTGTTAGGGAACGCGAGGTGGTTGGGAAGCTGATATTTCACTTTGATTTCACCTTTTCCAATGTAGAAACTGTGAGTTGGGGGGATTTTTTTCCCCATATGCTTGGTGCTGGGTATACTAGGGAAAGGGGCACCATGAATATGGAAGTGTGATCCAGATAGTAAAATATCTCTTCAGAGATTTTTCACTTCTCTGTGTCCCTGGAAACTGTTTCATCCTTATATTTCAGCTCTGTGATATTGCCGGTGATGATGTGTGTGTTGTATCTTTCTTTTTGGCGTTCTGTGGAAAGGGTGGGGGGAGAAAAGCCAGCTTGCCTCTATACTGCCATGTGGAACCAGAAATTAACCTCTTGCTTTTTATTTATTTATATTTAATTGAATTTTTTTTTCTTAGAAAACAGATGATGGAGAAGGTAACATATTTTTCAAATCTTTATTAAAGATACAATTTTATGTGCTTTAAAGACCTATCTAAGTCAATCTTTAAAATTCAATGAAGTAAGTTTAAGTATCTCAATTTTGCCAATGAAAAGTGTAGCAAATTCGATGAGTTAAGTAACTTGCTAAGATCATAAATCAACCATATCTGTCTGATTCTGTGACCTCGGTCAGCATGAAGTATTACTATTGTTCTCAAAGTAGAGCATTAGTCTGTTCCCAGAAGATGCTTAATACCATTGAACAAATATACAGACTGAGATCCTGGCCATCAATAAAATGTTACCAAGAAATCATACTTTCAGTTACTCACACAATCAATGAAATTTGGACAATTCTAAACTGTGCATGCCCATTTGTCTCCTTTTCTTTACATAGTTTTTTTTTTTTTTTCATTTTCTTCACCTAGTTAACTGTTATTCTTGAAAGTCACTTTGCCAATCTTACTGAAACATGATGGAATGATGCTTTATGCCATGATATATAAAACTGAAAAACACAGAAGTCTGAAATTATACCTGAAATAGGAACATCTTATGAAAAAATGACTTGTCAGGTTGGGTACTGAAGGATGAATAGAAGTTTGTCTAGGAGAGCAGCTAGGGAAGGGCAACCCCAGAGGATAATACAATTTATAAAGGCAGAGAATTTTTGTAAATGAATCTATTTTAAGTGTTTTCTAATGCCTTCTCCAAAATATGCACAGGGTTAATCATTTCTGCCTTTGTTTTACTAGTCTACATTGTACATATTTTCATTAAATGTTTATTAGATATTATTATAATCATTTCTATATTTGCCTCCCATGATTAAGCTTCATAAAAATAAGATGTACAAATCTTTGTAACTCCAGTGCTTAGCATAGTAAGTACTCAATAAATATTGGCTTATCAAAACACCAATTAATGAATGAATAAAAAATGTGAAGTATCCTTAAAGAATGGCAAGAAGGAGAGAGATGAGGTATTTCTGGGTGAATTTTTGCCTTTGAGAAAACCATAGAGGTAGGTTGGGTCTGATTATTAATTCTACAGATGCTATACTAAATAACTAAGTCATTTTAATTCAACCTAATAAGCAACAGTTATTGAAAATCCTAAAGAAACAGAGTAGTATTATGTGGTTTATATTTTAGAAAGATACTTTAGGAAGGGAATGAATTATGACCATAACGTTTTTATGACCTCAGCCCATTCCCTCAGCCCACTCCAGAGGTCACCTACAGAGAGTGTCTAAGTGCTAAGGGAACCCCCTGTCCTCTGTCTGAGGGAATCTCTGGCCAAGGATGTCTGCTTGCCTACATTTATGAAACAGGCCAGAAGCATCGCATGATTAATGTTCCTCAGAACATCCACCAATCAATGTGGGCAGGATTTGGTACAAAAACACCCCAGTGGGACAACTTTGATGTTGTTAGGCATTATCTTTCCAAGGATCCTCAGTGGGCTTGAGCCTCAGTTCTCCACAGTGGTGAGCCACAGATACTTGCTTAATTGGCTGCCCTTTCCTGTCTCTTTCCCATCACTTCCTGGGATCAGCCTCCAAATAAATTGCTCATACCCAAACCTTTGTCTCAGTGTCTGCTATGGGGCAAATCCAAACTAAATAAAATTTTCTTTTGTCTCTTTTTGTAGTAGAAGGAAATTTTGAGGAGAAGCAGGTGATGGTATTTTTGTGCTGTATGTATCTATATTGATAGGTATAATTAACTCACCAAAACACTTCAATTATTATTGTTATTATTTTTTTGAGACAGAGTCTCACTTTGTTGCCCAGGCTAGAGTGAGTGCTGTGGCGTCAGCCTAGCTCACAGCAACCTCACACTCCTGGGCTCAAGCGATCCTCCTGCCTCAGCCTCCCGAGTAGCTGGGACTACAGGCATGCGCCACCGTGCCTGGCTAATTTTTTTTTCTATATATACTAGTTGGCCAATTAATTTCTTTCAATTTATAGTAGAGATGGGGTCTTGCTCTTGCTCAGGCTGGTTTCTAACTCCTGACCTTGAGCAATCCGCCCGCCTTAGCCTCCCAGAGCGCTAGGATTACAGGCATGAGCCACCGCGCCTGGCCTCAATTATTTTTTTTACAAAGAGTTCTTACATTATATAAATTCATAGTTATTAATGAATAAAAACAACAGCAGGAAATGAATATTTATATTTTGATACAGTGGGATACCACATTTTTGGCAATATGCAATATATAATTATGTTAATTTATGAAGTAAGACACAGAAACATAAACACTGCAATTTTTATGTACATTGCATAAACACTGTAGGAGCTAAAAACAACTTGGGATCATAGAAGCAGAGAGTGTAATTATGATTATTAAAGGCTGGGAAAGGTAAGAGAGACTGAAGGATTAGAGAGATTGGTCAACAGATACAAAATTAGAGCTAGATAGGAAGAATGAGTTCTGGTGTTCTATAGCATTGTAGGGTAAATGGGGTTAACAATAATTTAATGTATATTTTCACAAAGCTAGAAGAGAGAATTTTGAATATTCTCAACATAAAGAAATGATTAATCTTTGAGGTGATGGATATGCTAATTATCCTGATGTGATTATTATATATTATGTACATATACATCAGTCTGTATCCCATAAACATATACAATTATTATAAGACACTAAAAATAAAAGAAAAAATAAATCAAAAAAGTAATATTTTAGTTAGAAAAGCGAAATTTGGTAGAATTACATTAGTAAAATTTCAAAGCTTTGCAATATGGTATTTAGGGACACTAACATATGAGGTAAAACTGAAAGAAAAACAATGGAATAACAAATACAAAATTCAGGAGAATGACGACTTCTAGGGAAAGTGGAGGGAATGGGGTCAGGCCACGATCCTGGGAACTCACAAGGCACTGGCATTATTCTTTTTCTTAAACTGGGTAATGGGACACACGTCTTCAATATATCATGGTTCTTTATACTTTACACATTTCTAATTAAGATTATTTTCTAAATGTTTAATATTTAAGAAAAAATGTTTTTTATAAAAGACATCCAAAGGAAAAATGAAAAATAACTTTCTGATGGTGTCATTAGTGTAGGATATTACTGAAACAAGAATTAAAATAATTTATATTTAGATAATAAAATATAAAATATAGAATGATAAATAGTAAAAGTATATTTTTCTCACTAATTCAGCATTCCAATAATTACAGATATTGTTAATAAACACACAGGGGGGTTCAATGTTGCCTTGCACACAGAAAGCCAATTACTGAGACAGTGAAGATTGTTATAGAGGAAAGGATTTATTTCAGTGGACACATCAACTGGGAGGGGGAGGTTATGAACCACCTTTAATCTGCCTCCCTGACCAATATGGTCAGGGGTTTTTTCTCGAGCAAAATGAATAATGTATGAGAGGTGTGAGCATCATTGCTTGTTTGGGGCGAAGTGCAAGGCAAACAAGTGCAGTGAGAAATCATGCCAGTGCATATGTCCCATGATCAAAGAGTGGCAGATAGGTCACTCCTATTAGTATTTTAATAATCTGGGGGTTAATATTGGTTGTTCTTGCAGCCTTGTGCTTGGGCTCAGTGGGTCCTTGGGCACGGTCTGTGGTAGAGTATCGCTTATCTTGTCTCTTTCAGACAAATAAGTGGTGTGAGGCTTTGTAGGAGGTTCCACCATTCCTGGGAAAGAAGAATGAGAAAGAATGTATCAGGACTACAGAAAGTTATAAAGTTCTGGTCAGCAAATCTTCCTGAGAGTTCTCTATTTTCTACCTATTTTGAGACTGTAGTTGCTAAGCTACCAGGGTGGAGATAAATCTTACTGTCGAGGTGTCTTACAGTTGTCAGCCCCAGACATAATGTGAACATTGAAAACTCATTTGAAACATGAGGGAACTAAAAGTATTACTGAGAAAACATTTTCTGCCTTATGGAGCTGGTTACAATTTTCCCCCCTTTTCTTTGTTCATTCCTCAATCTTGGGGAATCAGAGTGTTGGTCAATCTGGCTGTTTTCTGCTTAATTAGGATGTAGTTGGGACATGAGGATTGAAAGTTTTGAGCCTGTTGTTGAAAGTGCTCACGAGTCAAAAATGAATGATTGAAAGTCTCTAGTGCCATTACTTGAGTATTTTTGCTTGTTTTGAAACAACACTTTAATGCACATTTAATTAATATATCTGTAATCAGATAAATAAAGAAAATTAGTAGTAGGAAAGAAAGGCTAAATATTAAGATCTTTGAAGGAATAGAGTGAATATTCTGAAGAATCCAAGAGAACAGTTCTGAGAACCAATCTCCTTATTCTAGATCATCTTTGTTAATCCATTGTAACCATGAAGCTTGTTTCTACTTATGTGGAGGTATTTATATCAGTGCAACATGAAGAATTAGCTACAGCACAAACACCCCTTTGTTATGCTAATATATTGTGAAGAGCAATGTGATTATCAAGAACTACTTGAGCTAAAGAGTTTAAAGATTTTTGTTGAGTAGCTATTTCTAATGCAGTTTTATTAGCAATCATTTTTAAGTTATAGATAGGTTACAAAGCACATGTTGGGGAGCTGTCACTCCCCACCAGGGCAACAGAATATACTCAAAGAAGGAGTCATCTCTATCTGAGATTCCCCCCTGGGAGGTAATGTCTTGGGGCTCTCCAGATGGAATCTCTATCTGAAATTCCCCTACTTACCTGTGAAAACAACTTTAGGGAGTTGGGCCAATAAGGAACTTCAGATCTGCTATGGATTGAAAGGGGAGTTGTGAGAAGTCCTAGTAAACAAGTATCTCCCACTGACCAGCAGTTTAAGCAGTCATAAGCACAAAGAGTTCCTTTCTTATCTCTACAGACAAAAATACACCCAAGGGATACACAAACAGTACCTGTTCTTGTTTGAAGGTTTATACAACCATTTTAAGGTAATATCAGGGTTAAATTTTTAGGCCAGGGATGTATGTAAGGGATTCTGTCCCTCTGGGACCTAACAGGCTACTAGTTTTCCAAAGTCTTGAGAATACAGCTTTTGCTGATGTACTATGGTACAGATAAGGGCCTCATGATCCTTGTCTGAGGGGTTAAAACATGTCTTAATAACATAATCTAAAGAGAGTGGTACCAACAGACTGTTGAGTTTTTACAATCAGTGGTCAATCTAGAGAGACTGATGGCCCAGTAGAAAGGACACTTATGATAGTATAGGACTCTACTGTCACTTTGTACATAATGTCTGATAAGGGGCTGGGTAAGAAAGAAACATGGGACTTGTGAGTAGAGAGTTATTAGTCATATTCTGCAGGTAATCCAAGAGACAAGCTTCTGTGAATTCCAAGTGCAGGAGGGTATATTAGTGAGATTGCATACAGGGACAAGTATAGGGTCAGAATGGTATTACACTGAATAAGGTTTTGGATGACAAACCCAGCAGCCAGACAGGCTAGCAGAGGAGGCAATAGCTTGGGAAATTATAACTAAAGAATTGTCTTGCCAGGCAAGCAAAAATTCCCAAGGGACAATACAATGCATAGGGCATATAATTTCATGCTCCTTACCTCATTTGTGGGGGAGTAATTTTAGGTCCTCTAAGGGCTCACAAGTCCATTGCTTCTCCAGTCCCTCAGAAGGTGAGGAATCTATGGCTTAACTCTTGTGAGTTTAACTGTTGAGTGAGTTTTCAGGAGCATCTCAAATAGGCTGATCCACTGTGGCTGTAGTTGATCTTCAGGATGCTGGTTTCTCAGGTTTTCAGTAACACCTTGTCTCCTGACATTATGGAATAAAAGGGAATGTCTGTTGGAAACTGGAACCTGTTGGAAGCAAACGCAGAAATAGTAGTTAGTGTAGTGCCAAACTGTGCTATATAAGAATGAGACAGCCTCCGGGGATAGAAAATCAATGGGTGAGCGCTGGTTGGAACCTCTTAGGAATAGTCTCCCACATAAAATTTCAAAGAGGCTAAGTGCCAGCTTACTTCTTGGAACCACCTGAATTCTCAACAGGGTAAGGCATAACACTTTGTCCCAAGTTAAACTGGTCTCTTGAAAAATTCTGGAGAGAGTCCTTTTTAAGGTCCTACTTATCCGTTCAGTTTTTGCCAAACATTGGGTTCTCCATGATGAATACAGTTTCCAATTTATTTCTAAAATTCTTGATCTTTCTTGGGTGATTTTGGCAACAAAGCAGGCTCCATTATCACTTTGGAAAGTTGATGGAAGTCTAAACCTAGGAATAATGTCCTTTAAAAGGGCCTTATTGACTTCTGAGGTCCATTCAGTCTTGGCGGGTTAAGCTTTAACACATCCTGTTCGCTGGAAATCACAGAATATCCAGCTTTGTGTTGTCTGTGTTCCATGAACCTATTCCCATCTGTGCACACTCCTCATCCAGGTCTGACAAGGGCTTATCAGTGAAATCCTGGTGGCTAGAATATACTTGGTTAAGGATTGGAATGTAACAGTGAGCTGGGAAGTGAGAGCCCACAGGCAGCAAGGTGGTAGGATTCTAGGTGGACATCGTCCTTAAAGTTACATTAGGACTATCTAACAGAGTGCTTGATACTCGCCCAACCAGCCAGTTAGCAACCAATAGTCCCCTTCTGTTCTAGTAGGGGTAACACATAATATGCAGTACAAACAGTTACTGGCTGTCCAAGCGTAAACTTTTTAACTTCTGAAATATTACAAGTAGCGGCAATTGCTCTGAAACCAGTGGGCTACTTTTTTTTTTTTTTTTTTTTTTTTTTTTTTAACAACAGGTCACTTATGAGCTCCCAAAGTTTAGGTTAATACTCGTAGTCCAACCCCTTGTCTTACTTGGATGAACAAATTTAAAGGCTTATATACAAATGTGGAAGCCCCAGTGCAGGGGCAGTCATCAGTTTTTCTTTAATAATATTTAAAAAAGCCTTTCACATTCTCCTGTCCAAGTAAGAGGCTCCTTTTCCTCTTCTTTTAAGGCTTCATATAGAAGTTTGCCTATTACGCCAAACCTAGGAATTCAAATCTGACAAAAATCCTGCCGTACCCAGGAATCCTTGCAGTAGCTTGTGAGTGGTGGGGACGGCTACATGGTTTACAGCCTCCCTCTGGTCTGGGAGGAGGTTTCGAATCCCTGGAGACAATTCAAATCCTAAGTACTTGAAAATGGGCAGTGAGATTTGGGCCTTTTTCTGGGATGTTTTATATCTTTTGTCAGCCAAGAAATTCAATACAGTTACAGCATGTTGTCTTAATTCAGCTTCAGTCTCCCTGAAATCAAAATGTCATCTATATACTGCATAATTGCTCCCTTTTCTGAAATTATTTTTCTTAAATCTCTAGCTAGAATTTCTCCAGTTAGAGAATTTTTAAATCCCTGAGGGAGGACATTCCAACAGTAATGACATTTGATTTTAGTCCTTAAATCCTCTCATTCAAAAGCCAAGAGTTCTTGAGACCTAGAAACAATGGGAATGCAAAAGAAAGCATCTTTTAAGTCTATCACTGAAAACCGAGCAAAATTTCCAGATGGAGTGGTGAGAAGAGTATAAGGATTAGGTACCACAGAATGAATGTTTTCTACTATTTGGTTTGTTTTCCTCAGATCCTGAATAAACCGATATTCCTGAGTTCCAGGTTTTTGAACTAGCGAAATAGGAGTGTTATAAGGAGAGTAACAAGGCTAGATAAGTCCATATTTTAAAAAGCCACAACTAGGAGTTCAAGACCCTTCCTAGCTTGAAGCTTTAATGGATACTGTTTGTGCTGAGGAGGAGAAATTCCTGGTTTTATGTTGATATAAGCAGGGTCCACATGTGTCCTTACAGGTTGTCTGGTAGCCGAGACCTCAGGGTTGACTTGTTTGAAGACTTCAGTGGGCAGCTTTTGAGGGACAAACAGGGAGGTGAGCAGAGCTGGTTGTAAGCCACAGGCATGTGCTGGGGGAACTGCAATATGCACTTGTTTATTTTGAAAGGTCATTTAAGAGTGTAATTTAGAGAGAAGGTCTCCACCCAGCAGTGGAAGAGGGCACTCAGGCATATACAGAAAGCGTGTGTGAAGAACAACTTCCTGGTAGCACAATCCAATGGCTGGATAAAATATTTTGGGAGGGTTGTCTAGATACCTTTGATCATCAGCATGGTAAGCTTAGCCAGTTTAAGGTTTAAAACTGAGTAGGCTGTACCAGGTATCAATCAGGAAATCAATCAGTTATTTTTTTCCCCACTTTTATGGTTGCCCTGAGCTCCTGGTGGGAGATATTAATCACTGGCTGTAATTCCCACAGATTCTGGGGAGCACTGGGGACCCATCATTCCGTATCTTCTGCATTTAGCCCCATCAATTTTACAGTAGGTTCCCTGTTCCTCTTTTGCTGTTCTATAGTCTGTTCATGGTTTATAAATCCCTTATAAGCCATATCAACCAAATGAGAGATGGGCAAAGTGAAAGCCCCCTCTAACTTCTGTGACTCTTCTTGGATGTCAGGCATATTCCAGCCAACAAAAGTCATGTTAGTCAACTTTGAATTATCAGGACTTTCTGGATCTATATCAGTATATTTCTGATACACCTTCATAATTTTTTCTAGGCAAGCTGATGGATTTTCATCTGTTTCCTGAACCTTGTTCAGGATTTTAGTTTTAGGGACCCCTTTCCTAAGCCCAACCAGAATGCAGTCTCAAAAATGTTGACTGTTACCTTCTTCTCCATTGTTTGGGTTCCAGATAAGGTCATGTGTTGGGATGGCTAAATCAGCTCTAGTTCTCACATGGCTATTTAGGTCTCCTGCATGTAATCAGTTGGCTTCTACTTGAGTCTTTGCCAGGACAATGCAATGCTCCTCAGGGGTTCACAGTATGTCAAGCAGGCTCTGGACAGCTGCCCATGTGGAGTGATGTTTGGGGAAAATAGATTCAAACAGATCAGTTATAGGCTTTGGATTATCCCTGTACACAGGGTTATTGTGTTTCCAATTATACAAATCAAACATGGTAAATGGGTTATAAACCAACATTAATCCAGCTGGTTGTCCACTCTCATTTACTCTTCCTATAGGGACCTGTCTCAAAGGAAACTGCCCTGCTGGGAAGAAAGAAAGACCCCAAGAAAATTGTGTGCCCTGCCAGGTGTGTGAAGGAGAGACCACACCCCCATGTTTCCCATGACTATTCTCAGAGAAGGAAGGACATGAAGGATAGATGACTGTAGGACCCAGCAGAGTGTGGGGTAAGGAAGAAAGGGAGCCAGAGCCATAAGTGGGGCACAGGAGGGTTAGGAGAGGGATCTCCAGAAGAAATCAGAGCTGCAGCCAGAGCCACCACTGTGGCCAAAGCTGCAGCTGGTGCATCAGCCACAGCTTGAGCCTGAGCCAGCACAGCACAGTTGGATCCACTGCTACAGCTGCCCAAAGGTCTACTTCAACATGGACATTTCCTTCTGATGGCAAGACAGGGTTCCTAGATCTGACTGCTGTTCCCCAATCTTCTTGAAGGCTTCTGTCCTCTGTATTGGAATCTCACATTTAATTGCATCTGCTTCTTTTGATATAGAAGCATAAAAGATTATACATAGGGATTTCATCCCATTTCCCAACATGGTGACAAAACAAATCTAATTAGAGAATCATATTGTAGTTCAATGAGCCATTAAAGGGCCATATTTTCCCAGACTCACAAGAGTATTGGGGCCAGGCAGTATTGCACAAATATACCATTTTTTTCTTTATAGGCTCATAGCCATATTCAGACCAGTTTGTAAAAGATGGTTAAATCGAATTGTTTTTGACAAAGTTGGGACTTGTTCACATGGCCAAACTTCAGTTGCCCCAAGAGGCAATGTCATGAAAACTATGGACTAAAATTTTAGGTAAAGCAGCTTTTGTGGCAATTGGAGTTTTTTTTTTTTAAAGGCCTCTTTAACCTCTTTTTTTCCTTCAGTTTCAAATAAGTAACTGGCTGTTCCCAGCTGGCCTTGAATTTGTGATAACATAGTTCAGTGAGCTCCATCTCAACATCCATAACTTAGAAATCACCACTTCAGCAGGGAAAAGATAGACAGTTTAACAAGCTTTGCATCTTAACTCTACAGTGCCAGATTAACCGTTTGAGCTCAGAAGTTTTCTTGATGTAATTTGCCCATCAGTTTAAACATGTGCACAAGAATAGAACATAATATGGGAAGACCAGCTGGAGTCCTAGAGAATCTGGCATCTCTTTAAACTTTCTCATAGACAGTACATTTATATGTCACATACTAATACAGATAAACACTCAATACAAAGAGAAATTTAAAAGGTTTCAAACACAAGCCCAGGAAAAACACATCAGACAAAACAAATACAGTACTTTCAAACCAATGTTTATATAGGGAGACTGGGGAGAAGTTTTCAAGAATCTTATCTCAAATTGTTACCACAAACAACCTGGTCTAGGTCCAAATGGCACGAAAGTCCAAGCGGCAGGACAGAGGATTCCCAGTGTACCTTTACATTTACAGACGGAATTCTTATTTCCCATGCCACACACCAGAGGGACTGCAGTTCCAACAAATAAGCTTAAGGAGTGCCCAATACAAATAGTCACAGGTCCGACCCTGCCAGATGGTTGAGGCCTCTAACCCGGACAGGACTCCAGAGGAATTCCCCAAGCAGAGAGAGGAGTTTTAGGTCCTACTCTCCCAAAAGGCTGAGGCCCACACCCAAATGGGAATTCCAGAGAACCTTCCCAGAGGGTGAGATGAGTTTCTCTGATGTGCAGTACCTTCAAAGAACTCTCACCTATCCAGAGGCAAATGCCCAAAATCTAAAAGTGAAAGGTCCATTGTCCCTGACAATCAGGGATGTATTTGGGGCTAACAACAGGGAAATTAGTGGGAGAAATCAAAACCAACCTCTGGCAGAAACTCAGCCAGGCAGCTGCTAGGGAGGCTTTAAAGTCTCTCCCCTCTCCTTGGCCACCAATCAACGAGCAAAGGTCCCCGATGAGTCCCCAAATGGTTAATGAACCCACAGGAGGGGGGTTCGATGTTGCCTGCCACACAGAAAGCCAATTAGTGAGATAGCAAGGACTGTTAAGGAAGAAAGGATTTATTTCAGTGGACATGTCAACTGGGAGGGGGTTATGAACTGCCTCAAATGAACCTCCGCAACCAACATGTTTTTCCTAAGGGTGAAATGAATAACGCAGGAGGGGTGTGAGCATCATTGCATGTTTAGGGTGGAGTGCAGGGCATGCAAGTGCAGTGAGAAATTATGTTAGTACATATGTCCCATAATAAAAAAATGGCAGATAAGCCCCGCCCCCCCAGTGGAGATTTCAGTATCATAAAAAGCTAGGGCTTAATATTGGTGATTCTTTCAGTCATTGCACAGGCTCAGTGGGTCTTTGAGCATGGTCTATGGTGGAGTATTACTTACCTTTTCTTCTCCAGATGAATAGGCAGTGTCAGGCTTTGTAGAAGGTTCCACTATTCCTGGTAAAGAAACTCAAAAGAGAATGTATCTCTGCCTATTTCCTGCCTATTTTGAGACTGTGGCTGCTAAGCTACCAGGGCTGAGATAAATCTTACTGTCAGGGTTACTAACGGCTGCCAGCCCCAGCCACAATGTGTACATTGAAAACTCATTTGAAATAGGAGGAAACTAAAAATATTATTGAGAAATCATTTTCTACCGTATGGAGCCAGTTACACTTATTATTTCCCCTCTTAATCTATGTGAACTAACAAAAAATATAATAATGATTATAAGAATGCTATTTTCTCAGCTTGGATAATTATTTTTGTAAAGGTACAGCCAATATTCTTAACCAAAAAAGAAAAATTGCAAATTGAGTGATTGAAAACATTATTTCTGACTGGTTACTTATTCATTTAAATCAATTTGATATAGAACAAATCATCAAGGACCCTGGAGAGCAGGGAATAAACAAAACAGGTTAGACCCCTGTGGACAGGCCTTATGAAACCCCCTTCACAACCCTCTCAATGCCATGTCACTGGCCATCACCTTAGTTTGAGTTTAGCATGCATATCACAGGTTCCCACGTTGGATGCCCTCATCATAGCTTTGCTCTCCGGAGGCACTGTAGGGAAAGCAAAACATATAAGTGAAATCCAGAATAGGCATCAGTTTTGTAACACACTCAGAAAGGAGCTAAAATAAATGGTAACTAGAGAATATAGGGGTGTCTTGCAGAAATTTTGGAGGGGTACAGAGAAGACTTAAAAGAAATCAGAATCCACCAAGGGTTGGGTTTTGGATATCAAATTCTTTTAGTAAACAAAGAATCCAAGAACACACAACAATGACAGCTTGGACCTAGTGCTTTTCCTGGTTGTATGAAGCAAGACAAAGCCAAGTCCAGCTTTTCTGACATATTATCACAGCACAGTCACTAATCCATGGGTTCCCCCACCTAAATTCTCTTCTGATGCACACGCTGCCTGTTCACAGCAAGGGCCTGTTTCCAGGTCTAAGCCCAATGGGCAGGGTTTAGAAGTGACACAGCACACGTACCTCTGCTTTGCCTGTGAGAGACCTGCCTCAGGAGCTGGCCAGAAGTCCTTCTCTTTTACAGCAGTTTATGGTATGGAGGTAACAGAATTCCATTGGAAGCCATGGAGTTGCACTTCTCCCACTTTTTCAACAACTCTGAGAACAATAAGCTGAGGGTTTATCCAATGTAGGCATTTGAAGACACAATAATGCACCCAAGAGGAAGAAGTACCACTGTGGGGTGGGGAGAGGAGGAGAGGATGAAGGAGGACGAAGATGGAGAAACAGAAGGTCCATGGGAAGGGTCCCATCCCTCCACCTTGAGCATTACCTTGTCCTCAAGAGAGCGCAGGTGCAGGGTCAGAAAACCAGCCCAAGAGTCTTCATTCTGCCATTCACTTTTTAAGTGTCCTTGGACAAGTGACTAACTCTTTGAGTCTTAGTCTCCACGTGGTAAAATGGAGATAATAATAACGCCTGTGCTCTCAAGCTCAAAAATATTTGTGAGAATGAAAATGTGGTGTGGCTTTAAGAGGCCCATCCATTTGAGCAACTCCCTATTCAGGATGCTCCAAGAGGAAGTCATTGAGTGATAAAAGGTATGCCACCTCGGCTGGCTCAAGATTCTCAACGTCCATTAACATAGACTGTATGCTTGTCTTCCAGTGCCCAAGGTCCTTCGCCACATCAGAGAATGGAGCATAAACGTCATCCTCCTTTGGCTCACACTCCAGGCTCTCTACTGAGGAGGAGTCATTCAGTTCAAAGTGAGAAACATCTGTCAAAAAATAAAACCATGGTTAACACTTTTACTGAGCACAGATACAGCCCATACTGCCTTAGAAATGAATTATGCTAGTTTAATTCTCTTTTCATGTAGAGTATTACATTCTGAATACATTCTGAATACATTCTGAAGAAAGAAAGGATCTTTTACCACCTTGCCAAAAGTTAGTACAGAATAAAAGAAGAAACGCCTGTTGGGGTATACTAGATTTATCTCAGGTCCTGAAGAATGGACTTTCCTTAAGTAAGATTTTCTCAAAGCAAGAAATATTTCATAAGGCCAAGAATGTTGAAAAATATGAAGGGAGTAATACCAGAGATACCTAGATTCTGAAAAAGACTCTGCCTTCTAACATGGATTGCTGGTTGTTATACATAATTAACCTAGTCTTGGGGAAACCATTCACTAGCCTTATCAATTTCTCTTTTACAATGTTTTTTAATACCCATTATCTTATTTACTATTTATAATAACCACAAAGAAATTTGTATCCACATTTTACAAATGAAGATACTAATTTTCAGTGGCATAGAATAATTGGCCTGAGAAAACACAACTAGTAACCGGTGGTATAGGAATGCATATTCTAGGAGGTTGTTTGTCTTTGAATCCAGCATCTCCCTACCCCAAACGAGGTGAGCTGTTTTCAAACCATCTCATAGTGCATTAAAATTCTGAAAAGTATCTCGGGGACCAGTAAGAGGAAGGAAAGGAAGTTAAAAAACAAACAGACAAACAGAAAAATGAACAAACATGCCAGCCCCTGCTACCTCTGGGCTTTTTATTCCACTTTGAACCACAGCACATCCTACTGCATATACTAGGGATCCTCATAAAGTCTTATTAAAGAAAAGGCTCAAACCATCACACCACAGCATGCTGCCACCAACAACTTCTTGAAAGCTGTGACCTCACTGCATACATTTCTCAGCCCTACCACAATAGGATCGTGCCCTGGCCTATAGCAGGCCTTTCAGGAAAGGATCGGGAGCCTTGGGCCCCACTGACCCAGGACAGAGGCTCCCTTCACCTCAGCTGCCAGGGGCTACAGGAAAACCATTGCCCAAGCACCTGCACAAACATATGTGTATTTTTCACAAAAAACAATCCCATTATTGGCAATACCTGAGATATTTCCTCTAGTGCCATGTGTCCCTGAAAATTCTCCGTAAAGGGACGTGACTTCTTCTCCAAATACTGTTTGGCATTTCTCTAGCATAAATTGAAAGAGCAGCGTAACCTATACAAAGATAGACAAACGTGAGGTGCTAGTTCTCACATAACATGTTTGTAAACCCCATTTCATATCTGAATATATATGATATCTTCAAACACGCCATTAACTGCCAGACACCACAGGAGTGAAGTTTTTAAGCAACTACTGTATTATTACCACTTCCACATTTTTAGATGAGGACACTGTGGGTCAGTGTCACTGGATTTGCCCAAGATCATGCATCAGGCAAGTGGTGGGACTGAGAATTGCATCTTGGCTTGCCTAACTCCAGCATCCTTTTTGTTTTGCCTCATTTAAATTTTACAGTTGTATCAGTTGCTTTATATCACTCCTGTGGTATCAGTTAATCATATTGTTTATCCTCTTTAAAGTGAAAAGAGAAGTAAATCAATTTTTATCACTTTTCTTCCTGACAAATCACTTTTGTATAGTCTACCAGTATAGAATAAAACACCTCATAGTTAGTAAACTCTAACTTAGAAGTATATTTAGGCTATTTAAGAAATTGTCTATTATAATTAATGCCTCAAATTTCATTTGCAAAATGGTGATGCAGTCCCCCAGGGCAGACAAGAAACATTCATTACCTTTCTTGCCAACTCATTTTCTGCTTCCGGGCCACAAGAAGGAGCAGGCCAAAGAATCGTGGGAGCCACACATGCTGCCAGGTTTGATGAATCCATCTGATTCGATGCAGAATTTTTCTCAATATTATACAGTAAGGCAAATAGATAGTTTAAGAGCACAACATTTGCTCTTGGAAGCTTGTCTAAGAGCCTAAAGACAGAAAAATGCACTCTTTATATGAGACTTTTTTTTTTAAACTTTAAAGACAGGCAACTCTAACTTTGCACAAAGAAGACCGCAAATCAAGAACCCAACTCAGATACGCAAGCTTCACTTAATGTGTACCAAGCAAAGTGAGGATGCCTGAAGAGGAAAAAATAAGCACTTGGGATTTATTTTTTTTTTGTATATTTCTACATTGTCTTCACAACCCAATGAAAATGTGAAAGGATGGTGAAAAAGTACCATTAAACAATAAAAGTCTCTCTGAAATATTTCCCTGAAACTAGTAGGATATGTTTAAACTTAGGCAAATCCTGTAACAATTCAGAATAATCTCAACCAAAACCCACAAAAACTTCTCTGATAAAATTAAACAGCAATTAAATTTCAAGTTCTCCTTTATTTCCACGTAGCAACTCATGAATGTTGTCTCTTGGTGAGAACCCAAACCTCAGCTATAAAGACTTCCAGGTCCATTCTGAGAGTCTCTGCTCTGCTCCTCCATCTTCTAAGGTTGATTTGTCCCAAATGTCCCCTCATTAGGATCACTTTTACATATAAGTCAATTTATAGTAGTATGCTTTCTACCGTTCTCATTTGGCAATTGATAAGGGATTTTTAAATGATTATTCACCAAAAATTATTGTTACTGCTATCCAGAAAACATGTATAAGCTGATATCCATGATTGCTGCTGTTTTGTATAAGAAGCTTCAACATGGTGATAACAAGGTAGTCTGATTCCTGTTGCACAGATAGTAGAAAAGCCTTTCTTCACTATAACAGACTGACAGTGAGTACAGTTTTTGTAAGGGTAAGTTATGAAGGACTTTGAAATAGACCAAAAGATTGCTGGGTGTATTCAATGGAAAACAAGGCATCTAGAAAATGCTTCTAGAAAATGTTACTATGGGATCCCTAAGCCTTTTCACAAGGACTATTTTACAATTGTGTAAGTTGTAGAAAACTGATAGCAGTGCACATAACACTTGGCTAAAGACTTGAAAATTCTGGGTGGTGGAGAGACAACTAATTTATCTGCACCCTTGCCCTAGTAGAAAAGGCCAGTTTTGTATCTTTCTGTAAATTCATTTTCAGTATTTCTGGCTCAACTTGGTTGAACACAAAAGTTGCGGTAATTTGAAATCTACAAAGATGGCTGTAGTATCCTCTTGGTTTCCTTATTAACAATTTAAGAAAATCTTTCACATGTGTTTATTTTATATTTGCATGACAGTCATATTACCTTTTTACAAAAAAAACCACTCTTTAACAACTTATAGGATGGATAGATAGATAACGTTTTGGACAATGAGCAAACAAATATAAACTCTTATGCTATGTGAATGGCTTCCACCAAACTATAAAGAAAGAGGAGGTAGTATTATGTCACCTGGTTTAGTTTCTAGTATATTCCACAGGTATAGTATGGTACACATATAAATGATGTCCATCAAGAATACTATGTAGATAATTCACATTTAAAAGTTGCTCAAGAAAATAACTGTACTAAACAAGCATATGCAAATAAAATTATTTTTGGATTCTTGAGTTTTTACAGAACTCAAAGGATTTCTTTTTGTTGATGGACATTTCTTTCCTAGTCTATTATAATGCAAGAAATACCCCTGCATGGGGGTGATGAGTTCTCCAAGCAATTTCCCTGTGTATGAATAGAAATAGTGCATCTTTGTGATCAGACTGAGACTTTGGAACTCTCCTTTTCCTTGACACTTCTCAAGGAGTTAACTGATTCTCTGATATCTCTTTTATAGCACTGATTATATTGCATTATTATGGAATTGCTAGAGTAGAGGAAATGGGTCATTTTCTCTGTATGACTTCAGTTCCTGAAGGAATTATATAAGGAGTTACTATAATATTTACCAAAATTGAGATCATAAACTGTAGACTGGGCCTACAGTATTACCTAGTGAACTATTGAATGACAGCTCTTATTAATTCAGATATACAGAAGGTGTATACTACTCAAGTATTCCATGTTAATAGGATTAGGGAATGAAAAATAACTATGAGGAGCTAGCAAAAATCCATTTTAAACTGGTCCCTATGAATATGACTGATTTTTAACAGACAAACTTAATAGCTTTTAAAGTTTTTAGAAAGGATTTTTGAGACATAAAAAATAGAATAATTACCTTTGAATTTTATTTATTTTATCTTTATCCCTTCCATTATCCATGACACTGACCCACTCATTATAAAGATTGGATGACAAAATACTTCCAGGAATTTCTTTTAGAAAGTCCTAACATAGATGAAAAAACAAATATTTTAAATCATTATTCTCATGCCAAGTACGTATTAGAGAAACCAGAAAGAAAATATGTTGTTGAAAAGTTCATTTAAGTTGTCCCTTCCATAAACTATCCAGAGCTCTGTGCCAATTCACTACAGACTGGAGACAAATAAATAGAGGCTCTAATTTTTTTCTAACAAAAGCCACTGGGGTAACCAAGGTCTGGATTATGGTGGGAAAGAGAAAGGACAATCCGTTTGGGTGGATCCTCCTGTTTGCACACACTTGAGGAAACTAATAGAACATGACCAGGTCTGGCAGTAAACCATTCTAAGTCCTCTTTTCCCCTTCCCTTAAATGGCTAGTTCAAGGAAATGCACCCAGATATCTGTGAGGCCCATAATCTCATAATCATTCATTCAATCCTTGTATAAGTGCTTATTCATAGGTGCCAAGCACTTCTCGAGGTTCTAGGGAGACAGAAGTGAATAAAGCTTAGAAACTTATATTCCAGTGCTATTGGTGCACAATTGCATACAGAGCTACTTAGAATTCTCCCCAGTATTCCATATAGAAAGGTTGTCATATATTTTGGGAGATAAAGTATTCGGGGTACAAGCTGAGATCTGGGGGCTTGGGCAGCACTACTGTGCTTGACATACAGTAAGTAATGTCTCCACAGTACATTATCCTTTCTTGGAGACGCTATTCTGCTGAGACTACTGATGAGGCTGAGTGTGCTGAAACCAAACCATGACACAAACAGGATATGATTCAGGGCACTGGCTGTTTTGCTTTTGTTTACAAAAACTTAAAAGTAAATTAAATTTGTTCCTAGTCTGAGAAATTTTATTCTAGGCCAACTCTCACTGTTGCTTTTGGCATGGCATTAGCAGCGCCAAGCTTTTACTCTGATCTCCCACTAAGCAAACATTAGGCAAAGGAAACTCAATTTCTGGTGGAAGCACTATACCTATAGTTGGCTACCTCCTTGAAATTTCCTGTTTATAACATATAGAAAGGTGAAAGTCTACAACTGCATTATTTTAACTTTCGCTGAAACACCAAAACAATAACGTTATCTATGTTCTTTATAGAAGGCAACACTCAACCTGCTACTTATGTATCATGTTCATTTCACTAATATGAAAGCTATGATACCTTATTGTTACAGTTAGCTGATTACATGGGCATATTTCCCACTTGCTTATGAGCGCCTCCAGGGTAGGGACAGACCTTCACCATTTTGTACACATCAATGCCAACAAGGTCGGATCCATAGCAGAAGTCATCATTAAACTGCAGCTGGTGTTATATGGCCAAACATTAATGTACCACGAAACACGTGATTGTACATAAAGTCATGAAGCAAGATTGTATGTAGCCACTCAGCTGGAGTAGACGTATGCAAGACTCATTGTTATTATGTTTTTCTTCATTTGGTTTTTATGCTACAGGCCCAGAGATGCAGGCTAGGGCCCTGCGTCTACCCCTAGCAGTGGTCTATTCCAATCCTTTGGGAGATAAGAGCCTAAGGCAGTTCTGCAGAAGCGATTTCCAGGGTCAAAACCTCTGCAAAAGCTTGTTTTGACTCTAGCTTTTCCAAAACTGTACGGCATTTCCAAGAATGTGGGGTAGAAAACATTTTAGAACTCTATAACCTCGTAACTGTAGATGGGGCTTAAGTAACGACGGTTGAAGCAGAACTACAAAGAAAGCCAAATGTGTTAAAGTTAAAAGAAAACCTGGATGTCAAATTCATTCCTCTTCAGCTTTTAAAGTAAAAGTTGTTAGGGGACAAGAGAAAGAATATTTGTGGCATGAGGATTATGTAAACAAAAGGATTTTTCAGCAGTCTCAGCTAATTTTTGTTTTAGTTATAAGGCAAATGTATTTTCTTATAATAAATTTCTGTAATTATTTTCAAAAGTCTAATAAATGTTAGTTTTTGAACACTTTGCTTTCATTAAGAAGGTAGTGAGACAGTGAGGAAATCATCGCAAGCAGGAGGTGTGTTTTGGTAAACATCTCTGAGAGCGCCGTGTTTTGATTAATTTAAGTTTTAATTAAATTTTGTCTTTTACATGGAGTTTCAGAAGATGAGATTAGCATGCCACAAAAACTATTTAAAAAGCACATCTGATATGTTATATCAGTGGTGGTGGCTTTTAAAGTCCAATGTTGATTTGTGAAATGTGTTTTTTAACACTATTTCAATTCTAAATCTATTATAGGCTACTGTAGACAGAAATAATGCTCATAATTAAAAAAACATTATCTTGCTTGAGAGCTACACATGCTGTGGATAAAGGAAGAACTTTCCTACCATTAAGATAGATGCCAGCACGAAGGCATTTTCCCAGTACAGCTGTACTGGTACTCCACAATTAAGTTTTTCTTTTAGTTGTCGGCAGTATTCTATGTTGGCTGGTACAAAGAAGACACCTTCCTTCAGAGGGCCTTTTTCATTCAGGAACAAAAGAATATCCTATGGGAAAGCAAAGGAAAAAAACCAAAATGGAACTTCACACATATAAACAAGGGAACATGTTCTTGCCCTCTTTGGCCGCCAGAGGCTAGGATGTGCTAGTGTAGAAGCACTGAAGGATTGGAGCTGGATGGGTGGCTACAAAGATTAAAGTCAATTTTTATGGAGAGCAGAATGGTGGTTCCCAAGGTGTAGAGGTGGTACTGGAGTTGGGGAGATTTTGGTGAAAGGATACAAAATTTCAGTTAGATAGGACAATTAAGTTCAGGTGATCTACTGTATACCAAGGAAACTACAGTTCACAACAATGCACTGTATGCCTAAAAGTTGCTAATGGAGTATTTTAAGTGTTTTTTAATTTTGATTTTTTCTATTTTTACATCTTGCAGTGTAAGAGGAGGATGGGTTTTGGAGACATGCAATCTATGGGATTTGAAACCTAGTTGTGCTACATATTTACTTTGTAACCTTGAATAAAGTTCTGAGGCTTCAAAAAATTTGTCAAGAAGTGATGATGATGTGATGTTAACTACCCCTGAAATTTGTTGTGAAGGATAACCAACAGTGGCCGGCCTGGTGCCTGGCACTTATAGGTGTACAACATAGCATGAAATGCCATACATGTACCATAATGCTTAGAGGATACTGACTAAATTCTGCTTAGAAGAGATTAATATATCAATTGCAGAGAATGTAAACTCAGTGGCTTTGATCTGAATGATTGTATATGCAAAAGAAGAATAAAAGCCAGAGACTGTATCTTTATGCTTAAGCACTTTAACTACAAATAAAACAATTCTTAAAAATTAAATATAAGATTCAGTAGTCTCTGATATTAATGTGACAAAAGAAGACTTTCAGAACAATGTGGAGTTCAAGAAAGGATTTCTGAGGGATAATGAAGATTCTCTTTCTACAGAGCAAATCCTAATTTATCTGAGCAGGCTGATGTGGCTCTTGTAATCAGTAGACTAGATTATCTCTTCTTACTATGTTTTCCTTCTGATTCTGCAATACTATGTCAGATTTTTATACTTTCAAGTAACCAGGGGTGTCTATAGTTTTTCCATTTGGGGAAAGATCTATCTCCTGGAGCTCTCCCTTCCCACATCCCCTTTCCCATTGGTTTAGAGGACAAAATAAGCCTTACCATGATAGGTTTCGGCAGATTGTCATTCTTACAAATGTTTTTGAGAGAGACTCCAAAAAGTTTGGACTCAGGTGGATCTTCTATTTGAGCATGTTCTTCATTGCAGTGCTCCAAGTCACAGTCATTTTTGTTTAAAACATCTTGCACCTCAGGCTGCTTGAGGATGTCATCAGTGAACTTTAAAATAGAGGCCATGTTTTTACTTCCCTGGGCAACGGTCTTTCCTGTATTGACACATGGGGCATCAACAACCTCATGGGTGTCGTTCTCAGAGGTATTTTCCAAAGAAAGTCCAAGGAGCTGTCCTGCCACAGGAGATGTTGGCAGTGACACAAGGGAGTTGTCCTGGTCAGCACGAGAACCCCAACAACAGGCCAAATTGATGACACATCTTCTCTTTTGAGATGTCTTCCAATGTGAATCTACCAAAGGAGTGGAATTATTAGCAAAATTAGTTTAACTCATTTTCACCTTATTTCTAAAATTTCCATTTTACAATATGTTCCTTACAATGCCTCAAAGAGAAAAAATATTTATAGATGTCCTTTGTTATTGAGAAGTCAAACTATATTTCATGATAATATTTTATAAATGAAAGAAGCTCAATGAAGGGAAAAATCAAATATTTGAGTTCTCCCATCCATTTTTGGGACATCATTGGTCTGTTTACTTGAGTTTTGGTAGTAAATTTTTAAAGGCGAAAGAAAGTCTTCCTTTTTGACTATAACAACTTAAAGCAAAAAAGTGTTGCATACCAATAATCATACCAAATATGATTATTGATCATAATTCAATAGTGAGAAAAACAGAGAAGAGAGGATGGGAGGGCAAGATGAAGGGGAAGGGGAAGCAGGAGGAAGAAAAGGACGACATCAACAGGAAAAGGATGAAGAGAAAGAGGCAGAGGAAGAGGAAGTAAGAGAGGATTTATCTCTATTAACATTTTCCCTAGAAATAAACAATATTTTATTACCTGATGTCCCACTCTAGTATTAAGAGCAGAGACAGGAAGCTGATAGCCTACATTTTTTTGTTTCCAATCCTAATGCAAGAACCTTCATGTTTCTTTTCAGTTCCCAATTTTAAAAAGCATGTTTAGGCCGGGTGTGGTGGCTCACGCCTGTAATCTTAGCACTCTGGGAGGCCCAGATGGGTGGGTCATTTGAGTTCAGGAGTTCGAGACCAGCCTGAGCAAGAGCGAGACCCCATGTCTACTAATAATAGAAAGAAAATTAGCTGGACAACTAAAAAATATATTGAAAAAATTAACCAGGCATGGGTGCATGCTGGTAGTCCCAGCTACTCGGGAGGCTGAGGCAGAAGGATTGCTTGAGTCCAGGAGTTTGAGGTTGCTGTGAGCTAGGCTGATGCCACGGCACTCACTCTAGCCCAACAAACAAAGACTCTGTCTCAAAAAAAAAAAAAAAAAAGCATGTTTAAGGTAGCATGGATGGATGCAAACATGAGTGAGACTTGCCCTTGCAAATGAAGTTTATGATTTAACAGAAAGGGGACCTCTCATGATGAGGATGAAAGCAAGCACAGCAAGGAATAAAATGTCATAAGGGAGGAAAAAAAATACCGAAGGCATTCAGAGGAAAGTAGATCACATCTATCCAGCAGTAGGGAAGGGAGTGATCTTGTAGGCACTGGCATTTGATTTGTATTTGGAATGAATAACAATTCAACAGATAGAGCATAGTGTCTTGAATATAGTAAGCACTCAATAAATCACTATTGAACTACAATTGAAAATGTGAAGGGATTTTAGTAGAAAAAGACAGCATGAACAAAATAGGCAGAAGTAAGAAACGTCAACAGTAAGTTATACTATTATGATACCACAGTGTAAGAATGTTTTTGGTATCATCTGTGTCTAATTTTAACATGAAAGTTAAGGAATTTGAGAGTTAAGAGCACAAGTTTTGACACATAAAAGCTCTTTGAGGTTCCAATTCTAAAAGTGGATGACCCCTGCCTCTCCCCTGCAGCACATGCACACAGGTAACAACTGTGCACTCTGCAGAAACAAACCAAAAGAAACCTACCAGAAGGCACTGGAGAGTAACCAAAACAAGGTAGAAGTGGAGAGGGAATGGCATAGCACTGGGTGAGTTTCACATTCTTAGAAATTTAGTCTCAAGGCAGGTGTCACGGTAGTGGGGGGTGACTGACATTTAGAGAGAAACCTGTACTCTTGCTGGCTTGAACAAGTAGAGAACCAAGACAGAGGTACCCACAGCAGCTGGGAAGGGAGGGAGGATCCAAGAAGGAGAAAACTTGATAGTGGGAACCACAAATAGCGTGTACATTGTGCCCAAATCTCTGGCTAACCCCTGAAGCTTGCATTTGTGGGGCAGATTCCAAAGAGCCTGCAATTAAGGTTAATGCAACCAGGATTTGAGGAGCCATAATGAACAGGTAGTGCCCACTCATGGTTGGACCCCATTTTCTCCACTGAGAAGGCATGGGAATTAGTCATTAAACTCTGGCTGTGTGGCATTGTGACACCCAACAAAGCTACCCAGAGAAGATGTTTAGCTTCCAGCATTCCCTGATAATGAAACATTGCAGGAGAGCAGCTTTTCAAGGAGGATGTGGTCAGTGGTGTCAGGGGCTAATTTCAAAGAAGGCTTCCATATTGTTTGGCTATAACATATTTTAGAATTTTATTTCCTCAGAATAACCTAATTAAGCCAAATATTTAAAAGGCCAAGTTGTGGGAAGATCAGCAAGTAAGCAACATTTTACCAAATGGCCTTAAAACCATCACCTGCACTTCACTTCCTGGGATATAGTAAGTACATCATCACATAAACCCACGCCAGACTTACTCAGGTGTGTAAGGGTCTTTGGCTTTGGGGATAGTAAAGGTCAGGTGTGTAAAGGTCTTTGGCTCTGGGGACAGTAGTCCGGGTAGACTCCTGGTTCAGATACTTACTTGGGCAAGTTACTTACCCTCTTTTCTAGTCTTTAAAATAGAAAAAAAATTACTTCTTTCTCAGAGGCTTACTGAGAGAATTATGCAGGAAAACGTGGCATAGGTCACAGAAATCTTGATTAAAGCTGCCAAGATACCAATCTCCTCCTCACAAAGAGGGCCTCCTCTCTGCATCCACTCTCCATTGGTGTCACCCCCCTCAGGAGGTCTGCAGACATGAAGGAACAGCAATAGTCTGCCCAACTGAAGCACTTCCTTCCTACCCTGACATTCCCAACCTCTGCCATTGCAAAAAACAGAAAACTAAACCCTGTCTTAAATCCAAGAAGGGATTCCTAGATGTCTATCAATGTCAATCTGTGCAAATATTTGTTTCATGTGTACATTAATATGTATGTTAAGTAGCTGTACTCAGTCTTGTTTACTCACATTAACCTGATTTTATTATTTCTACAACTATCAGATTTATTTGTTTTTTTTTAGCTTTCATTCACTTCTTCAAAGGAATGCTCTATCAACAAATTCTATATCAGCTATGGTATGAGTGTTGACAGAGAATAAAGTAGAAATCTAGTCTTTTACTTTGTCATAAATACTTTCAGTGGTAGCCATGTCATCTGTTATATACAGCATTAAATCTGAGAGTTCATATTTACTCTGGGACTGAGAAAAGAAGTCATTAATGTTTACTTTCTTGCACAGCTTATAATGCATAGCTCTTAATTTCTAAGTGTTAAAAGCTGATGAAAAAACATGCTAGTACTATAAAAATGAGTGATGTAAATGTAAAGCTAACTAAATTAATGTAAATCTGGATTTCCTGAATAACTCTAGTACAATTCAGACTAGTATGTTTTTCATGCTTAAATAAGGGAAGTGAATATTAAAGAGTACAATTCTTAAGACTTTGTGCTTATATAGTAATAATCATGAGAACAAAAAGGTTTAATTAGAAATTCTATTCTGGCAATATACCTCCACAAATTAAGAATGCCTCCCTTGTAGCTAGAGTAGGAAACACGTGGGGGGAGAACATTGGAATTACAGAGAAAATAGGTAGAAGAAAAAAATGGTTTTATATTTGAATTCTCTGTCCTATTGCATCAGTCTATGTCTCTACTTTTGTGCCAATGAGATGCTGTTTTAGTTAGTATAGCCTTGTAGCATATTTGAAGTCTGGTAATTTGATGCCTCCAAATTTGTTCTGATGGTGTAAGATTGCTTTGGCTATTCCAACTCTTTTCTTGTTCCAGACAAACCATAGAATTATTTTTTCTCAATCTGTGAAATACCATTTTCTTATTTAGATGGGAATTGCATTGAATCTGTAGATCACTTTGGGTAGCATGGACAATTTAACAATGTTAATTGCATCAATCCATGAGCATGATATATTTTTCCATTTGTCTATGTCATCTGTGATTTCCTTCTTCAGTGTTTCACTGTTCTCTTTGTAAACATCTTTCACCTTCTTATTCAGGTATATTCCTAGGTATTTTATTTTTTTGTAGCTATTGTGAATGTTACTGAGTCTTTGACTTGATTCTCAGCTTGAATGTTATTAGTGTATAGGAATGCTACTGATTTGTGTATGTTTATTTTGTAACATGCAACTTTGCTGAATTTATTTATTCCAGAAGTCTCTTGGTGAAGTTTTTAGGATTTTGCAGATATAAGATTATATTGTCAGCAAAAAACAATAGTTTGACTTCCTCTTTCCCAATTTGGATACCCTTTATTTCTTTTTCTTGCCTGATTGCTCCAGCTAGAACCATCCACATACAGGCAACTGCTCTTTGACAAAGCAGACAACAACAATATGTACTGGGGAAAAGAATCCCTATTCAGTAAATGGTGCTGGGAAAATTGGATAGCCACATGCAGAAAAATCAAACAGGATCCATATCTCTCACCACTCAAAAAAAAAATGAATTCAAGATGGATAAAAGCCTTAAATGCAAGGCTGGAAATAGTAAGAATTGTAGAAGAAAATATAGGAAAAATTCTTCTGGATATCAGCCTACGCAAAGAATTTATGAGTAAGACCCAAATGGCAATTGTAGCAACAATAAAAATAAATAAATGGGACTTGGTTAAATTAAAAGGCTTTTGCACAGCTAAGGAAATAATCAGCAGAGCACACAAACAACCTACAGAATGGGAGAAAATATCAGCAAGCTATATGTCAGATAAAGGGAAAATAACCAGAATCTATAAAAACCTCAAGCAAATCAGCAAGAAAAAAAAAACATTAAGAAATGGGCAAAAGACATGAACAGAAGCTTTTCAAAAGAAGATAGACAAATGGCCAATAAATATAAGAAAAATTGCTCAATATCACTAATCATTAGGGAAATGCAAATCAAAACCACAAGCAGATATTACCTTAGCTGTGTTGGAATGAATTTTATTAAAAAGGACAAAAACAATAGATGCTGGCATGGATGCACAGAGAAAGGAAAACTTATACACTGTTGGTGGGACTGCAAATTAAAACAGTATGGAGATTCCTCAAAGAACTAAAAGTAGACCTGCCATTTGATCCAGAAGTCCCACTACTGGGCATTTACTCAAAGGAGAAGTCACTTTACCAAAAAGACACCTGCACTTGAATGTATACTGCAGCACAATTCAAAGATGTGGAATCAACCCAAGTGCCCATCCAGTCATGAGTGAATTAACAAAATGTGGTGTATGTATACCATGGGATACTACTCAGCCATTAGGAAAAATGAATTAATGCCTTGTGCAAAAATTTGGATGGAAGTGGTGATCATTATCCTAAGTGAAGTATCTCAAGGATGGAAAAATGAATACCATATGTACTTACTATCAGATTGTAACTAACTGATGAGCACACATGTGCACAGAGGGAAGTAAAACTCAGTGGAAATCAAGCAATATGGAAGGGGAGAAGGGGATGGGTGAAAACCTACCCAATGTGTACAGTGAGCCCTATCAGAGTGATGAGGACACTTATAACCCTGATTCAAGCATCACAAAATCTATCCTTGTAACCAAAAATATTGGTTACCTGTAATATTTTGAAATAATAAAAAAAGAAAAAAATGAAAAAAATTCTAATAATAATAAAAAAGAAAAAGATGTTTCTCATATTTTACTATCTACCATAAAAGTTCAGTTCAGGCGGGAACTCCAAGCATTACTTCAGACCACGCTCAGAAAGATCCCACATAAGTCTAGAACACTTCCACTTTTATTCTAGGGATGACTATGTCATTCAACCTTTCATTTACTTTCTGATTTGTTCTACACACCGGATTAAGCCCTGGGATTAGGTCCTAGACCTTAAGAAGCTCATAGTCTAAAGATATATTAAATATATAAAGAAATAAACATGACACAATTTTTTTACCTGTTATACTAGAGATATGTGTAAAGTGCTCTGACAACCTGCCTGAAGGAACAAAGATTTCCTAGAAGTGACATGTGAGTTGGGTCTTGAGGTCACATCTTTGAACATCTACATCTTGAACTCCCAATTTACACTAGAGCTGTCTCACTCTAAACGAATCACCTCCTCCTCCCCCCCCGCCCCCCTCCCGAATGAGTTATGGTTATGTAAGTCTCAGGAGTGGCCTATTGCTATTGTGTTTTCACTGTAAGACTATTAATAGGATGTCTTCTCCACACTGAGGCAGAAACTTAAAAAGACAGTTTGGGGATGCCTATGCTTACCTATGGTTATGATGGTTCACAGGGATAATTTCCTTAAGCTAACTAGAGAAAGCCTCTCTAAGAAACAGATATATTGAGTTTTGACTGTCTAATTATGGCTTATCTTATTCAGGTGGTTTAAAAATAAAATATTAATTGTTCTCAGCCAATACATTAATAGAAATTATCTATTGTTCTCAGTTAAAACACTAATATAAATTGTCTCCCTCTTGTACGTTTCTGCTAACACTCCGAACCAGATATGATTTTCTACATAGAGAAACATGGGAAATATACACAATCTTAGGAGTAAGTAATTTAAGAATTTCTGAATTCTGAGGAATTTATTTTGTTTTTGTTAAAATATTTTTGAAGACACAGGGTTTTGCTATGTTGCCCAGGCTGGTCTGGAACTCCTGGACCCAAATGATCTTCCTGCTTCAGCTTCTCAAAGTGTTAGTATTACATGTGTGAGCCACTGTGCTCAGCCCTGGACTTAAAATATGTAGGCCGCAAACAAAGGGTGATAGACTCTGACAAGTAGCACTTGGTAAACAGGGTCAAATTATACATTTTTAATATGTGAAGAAAAAGAAGTATAAACTCATTTTTCCCATTTAGAAGCCAGGTTAATATGGTTATGTATGCAATAAGGGTAGGGGAAAAAGAGGGAAGAGACTCTTTTTCTTATACTGATTTCCTTATAAAGGCTCTCTCTCTTAATTTTGATTTGTGTTAGGAATGCTTTGGTGCACAGCAAGTGGGAAAGGTGACAAATTTGTGGACTTTTAATAACATTACATCTTAATATTCACATGGTCACACAATAGGCTACAGAATACTGATAACAATCCCCACAGTGATCTGCTGCCTTCAAAGTAAAAGATCAAGGGCAGAAACAGTAGTAGGAGGAATGTGGAAAACAAGACGAATAATAACTATGTAACATGGTGTCTGAAGGGGTTAGTGCTAACGTGGCCACATTATAGGGCAGTTAGGTCTAGTGACAAGAGCAGAGGTTTAAAGTTAGAAGGCCTATGTTGTACTGACATTTATAATATGCTTTGTGATGCCGCATACAGTCTGACACTGCTAATCTGTAAAATGAGATGATAATGCAAACTTACATGGATATTTTGAGGCTTAAAAGAAAGTACTATTTAAACTGTTAAATTCTATGTAGAAATTACTTGCTGACATTATGAAGAGTGTCATCATTCAGGAGACAATTCCATTTTTAGAATTCCTAGACTCTATGTAGTTCTTTAGTGTTTCTAGATGTCTTTTGGCTTTTCTTCTTCTAATCAAAGCAACACAAATTGCACCATGCAAAGGAATGTACACAAGCCAAATGAGATGGTTCTGTTACTCATGTGAACTCCGTTATAAATCTGGTAGAGCACTGAGACTTTAGCTGCAATATTTTTAATTAGCTGTGCATTCAAATCATTTAAAAAAACGGGAGCAAACCATGCTCCCTGGGCCAAATCTGGCCTGCCACCACTTTGGATAACCAGTGAGTTAAGAATGATTTTCACATTTTTAAAAAGGTTGAAAAATCAAAATAATATTTAGTGACACATAAAAATTATATGAAATTCAAATTTTACTGCCCAGAATAGTTTCACTGGAGCACAGTCACAGGCAGTCCTTTAGGTACTGTTGATGGCTGCTTTCTCTTCACACTGAATTACAGAGTTGAGAAGCTGTGACAGAGACAGTATGTGGTACTCTCGTTGTTTGCACTGCTGCTTAGGGCACTACAAATTGTAGTGACCCTGTAATATTTTGACAGTGCTTCAAGTGCCATTTGTATCACAATACTGCAGCACCTTATTTTTTTCTCTAAAAAAGACATCTGCACTCCAATGTTTACAGTTCATAATTGAAAAGATGTGGAAACAACTGAAGTGCCCATCAATATATGAGTGGATTAATAAAATGTGGTATATGTACACCATGGAGTACTACTCAGCCACAAAAAATAATGGTGATTTAGCACCTCTTGTTATTACCCTGGATGGAGCTGCAGCCCTTTCTACTATGTGAAGTATCACAAGAATGGAAAAACAAGTACCACATGTACTCACCATCACATTAGTATTAATTGATCAACACTTATGTGCACATATGGTAGTAATATTTATCAGGTGTAGGGAATGTGGGAGAGGGAGGAGGGGGTAAGTATATTCACACCTAATGGGTGCAGTGTGTACTGTCTGGGGGATGGATAGGCTAAAAGATCTGACTCAGGCAGGGCAAAGGCAATATATGTAACTTAAACCTCTGAACCCCTGTAATATACTAAAATTAAAAAACATAAAGTAAAATAAAATAGAATAAAATGAAACTGAAAAAGAAGTGAGATCTTAATTCCCATACAAATTTATAAAAGATATATTTTCTGAATTCAAGTTACAGCTGCAGCAGTGTTTTCCAAACCTCAATGCAATAGGAAGGAGATTTGCATATCTTCATATCCACTAAACTATGCAATTGATGAGCTTTTACCTAACTATTAATTATTAGTGATTAATCTGCAAGGAAATGATATGCTAAGAGGCAAAGCCCAGTTAGTTCAAACTGACAAAGGCAGCTGCAGAAATTCAGCATTAGTTTTTTACTAGCCCACTCACATTTTTTAGTATCTATTTTCTTCTGTTTCTTACACAATCTTACTTTCAGACTGAAAGCTTACATCTCAAATTTAGGTTAGGATAAATTATGCCGCTATTATGTTGTGCATCCCTTTTAACCTTCTAGAGTCTTTTTTATTATGTTCACAGGAAATTCATATTAGATTCGTAGGCTAAGAAGAGACTTCCACAGAAATCACTGTAGAGGCACCTGCAGCATTGCCTGGTGCCTTTGACTCTGCAGTAGGCAGAAGGATAAAGGGAACAGAATGGTGAAGAAAGAAGGGGCAGAGTGTATTGCTACCAGCTGCTGTTTATAAACCAGTCATGCCTATTGCTCATTTATAAAACAATCTTCCTCTAAAACCTCATCTTTCCTTTCCAAACACTCAGCAAAATCTAAAACAAAACAAAAAAAGAAAGGCCTTATCTGGCTGGAAGTCTGAGTCTTTGCCTTTGTACTAAATTTATGTTCAGCAATGAAAACTTTTGCCGAAAGAAGATTCTATGAAGAAGGAAAAGCAAGTCACCTTTCAGTTGCTGGGCTGCAGCCAGGAGTCTGGGCTTGAGGATGAATCGGCACTGCCTCTCTCCTGGGAGCTCTTCCAGGAGGAAGGCTTCTTGGGCGTTGAAAACAGTGGTAGGGTCCCTTGAGCCTACTGTCAGGAGTGCATTGTCTCGCAGATGCTTCATTTTAATCCCATAGGGATATTCATGTCCTACATAAAAAAAATCAAAATGTAGACATTGGACTGACCAGTGTGCTGCGATCATGTGTGCTACAAACATGATATACTACAATTTACTCCTGGCACTTTTGGTATAAAGAACCCATTTGTTGACTGACTAACCATGTACAGGCTTACAGTTTGAGATCCCTGGATAATGCAGGTGTGCTCCTACCAAGGTAGTTTTGAGAGGGGGCAGGGAGAAAAAAAAAAGAAAAACCTTTAAAGATTATCTTGTTTGGAATGATGCACACATCAGTTTGTGAATTGCATAACGTTTACTCCTCCTATGTTTGCATCTAATATTTAAAGGTATTCTAGTTTTTTCCTTGACATTCACTAGATCTATAAATCTTAAGCAAATCTATGTCCTCACTCAGCTTCAAATCTATTACTTAAAACAATTATCCTACCTATCACACAAGTACTATAAGGATCAATAAGTAAACATTAGTGGCAAACATTATTTAAATAACAGGAACATGTCTCAAGCATCACTATCATTACTACTATCTACCACATGGTGTCTGTCTGAAAAAGACACTTTGTTACTTTTTATGAGTTACATAATTAGAGTTACTCAAGAGCACTGGGACTAATCTGATTTATGCTTCCCTCCTACCGCTGCCCTCTGAGGGTGGCGTTCATATGCAATAATCCGAAGGAAGACAGCAGGGCAACAGAAACACAGAAACAGATGCAAAAAGAAATTTATAAACTAGAAAAACTAACCCCTGGACACCTGACTGCAATGAGATTTTGCTCTTTAATACTCAAAGTAATTGCATCCTCTCAGTGAAATCCCCAAATACCATTGTACTATGGATTTTTTAAGTACAAAGAGTAAGTTCCCTTCTATTTCTGATTTATTACTGAATGTAATTAAGTGAATTCTTACTCCTCTTTTCCACCTGGAATAGGCATACAATGTCAATGTTCCATGAATATCAATTACTACAGCACCGTCCAGGGATTAGGGCTTCTATTTATAATAGCAATAAAACCAAATCTATTTATCAAAATAGCCAGCTGGTTATCTACAATTAAGGTTTTCAAGGCACATTAAAATTACAACATACAATTAAGAACTGCTGCTAATTCATGGAACAAGATGACCCATTGTTTCTTAGCAAGAGGTAATTTGAACTTTGGAGCTATTTTAACCCTAAAAATTACCATCCACCTAGTTTTAATTAAGTTAATATATTTTATTGAAACAGTTATGTTAAGTATTTTATTTTTAATGATGACTTAGTTGCCCATTGGCTTTTACAAAAATGACATTAAAAACAAACCTGAAATGATGTTGATTTTGTCCTCAGTTCTGTGCATATATTAAGTGCATATCTATATTCTAAGTCTGAGCATATACATTTTGTAGAAGATTTTGGTTTTAGATTTCTCAGATCACTTGAAACACTCTGAATTACACAGTAGTGTCCTCACAGAGAAATGAAAGGAGTACATGAGATGATGCATACAGTATACTCCATACAATCTCTGGCAGGCAGTAAGCATTTTAAGATTGTTAACAGAAATCATCATCACCATCATCATTAACATTGTCATCATCTCAAGATTTGTTGTCCCTGATACTGTCCCTTATTGTAACTGTTCTATTTCTGTTAACCATACTGAATAAAATACTGATCCAGAAATACATTTTTAGATACATGATTTAAATAAGGTGAAGTGTAACCTATTTACCAATAATTCCTCAAAACAAATGCTGGAAAATTAGGCTAGAGAAATAGCAAATGGGTTAATCCCATTTTCTTTACGATGCCTAAATTTGGGCACATTTGGGCACAGAGCAGGTGTTGCATACTCATTGGCGGATGAAGATGCATGACTGGATTAGAGAGTGTCTTCTACAAAGGCAATATGTAGTTAGGAAATGAAGCAGGAAATTCAAGAACTAAATATGGAAAATAAATGTACAAAGTGAATGTGAAAAATAGGAAAAGGAATATCAATACATATTGCTTTCTTACAGAAAAATCTTTAAAAATTTTTTTTAAAGTTTGGAAAGATAGGTCTGTTGGTAAAGTGAAAAGACATAGAGGAAAATTTACATTTCTCCTCTCAGCTATACCATGAACTGCTTGAATGAGGAGATATTATTTGCCTAGCACATAGTAAATGCTTGATATATATTTATTAAATGAATATCATATGAGATTATTTAATAGTATTTAAGCTTAAGGACCACATGACCAAATCTTTGAGACACTTAGAATTATAATTAAAACACGATCAAAGCTACCTCAATTTTTGCAAAACCTTACCAATTAGTGGGTATGCCGCTTCTTCATTCCCAGAATTGAAGCATAACTGGTAATCTCGCTCAGTACCCTTGGAGATAAAAGGATTAAAGGTCACAGTAAGTCTTTCACAGTTGGTGCCTGAATAAGGACATATTTTTGACATTTTATGCTTTGCAAAAGGAAAATCCTAGAGACTATAAATGCTAATCAGGTTCAGGAGGGAGGTTATGGTTTTTGAAGATGGAAGTGCTGATTCCTACAACCAATCTCCCTTTCCCCATTCCTCAATATGGGACTGAGGAATCCTGCCTTTTTCCTTCCAGCGAGGGCTCGGGGTCCACAAACTGTAGTGGACTCGGCCCTCACTAGATAGGTAGCTGATGGGATCTGAAATCATAGGCCCTTTTACAAAGGAAGAACAAACTCCCTGGTTCTACAAAGTTAATTTCTTCTTTAGAGTCCAGACTTCTGAGCAGGAGAAGAATGACAAGAGGCTTTGAGGAGATAGGTAGCTGGCAAAGTTTGCACTGGCTTTAGTTTGGGTAAGTCCAGTCTCGGGGACAGAAAGGACAAGGGATCTATCTAGAGAATAGGCCCAGTGAGGTACAACAATAAAATTGTTCACTAGCAGAATTATAACTTAGCAACATGCTACATCCCACTTGAAAGAAATAACACTTAAATTATACAGATTTTGCTGAATTCCCCAGGAGGGATCAAACAAGAATCTTTTAAATGAAGCTAGAACAGATAAATTTATCGGCAATATTTCATACCATTGCCTTTAACTTCTGATTAAAAATCATGGCCCTGTCATGATTACAATGGAGAGTTCTGGCTATGAAGTATACCACACAAACCACTCCTCCTCCCCCCTCCCAAGCACTCAGTTTGTCATTTCATCCTTGTCCCATCCCCTACCCAAAATTTTTATTGTAAATAGAAAGAGTAACCTGATAAAAATCTTTTATTTTTATGTAGTATCTGAAAACATCATAATAATCCCTTAGAACAGGTATAACCAAACAGCCTCAATTACTAATTAATACAATATTTTTTGGAGGGGGGTGATTTGGGCAGCTTTAAAGAAAAGGCATAGATAAGAAAATGAGTCATATCATTAATCTCCCTTCTTACCCCTAAAACTGCTATCACTCTCTTCCAAAATATATGTATATATGTTAGAAATCAATGCAGACATGCCTGCTTTACTCAGTGTACACACACTTAATGACATTCGAAGTGTTACTAAATTTAATAAAGAAATTGAATTTCTTATTTGAAATTTTGGTTGCCCTAAGTTCTTAAGGGCTCCCTACAGCACTGTGGACAAGTAAATCTAAAAACAATTAATAATATTATGGCATGTCTTAAATATGTATCATGGCATATAATACTCAGAGTGTTCTTACTTTAATATTTATAGAGAATCTCATTCAAGGAATAGTGTTTTTAAAGTGCTTTCCTTAGTTTCCACCCTTCTGAAAGTCACTCCCTTTAATTAAAATACTCATTGTATGGTGTTTATATAACTGGTAGGGAAGCAATGAGAAGAACCTTCCAGTTCTCTCTCCTCTACCTCATCCTCAAATATTCCAATCTCCTCCACTACTAAAATTTCAACAAAACTCACCTCTAACACAGAAAACAGAAAGAGACAGAAGCTAAAAGCAAAACAGGGAGGAGCATGGTCTTCACACTAAAACTATTCAAATCCATGATCTAATTCAAAGCTTGTGCTTTTATTTACCAGTTCATTAGAGGTACTAGCCATGCCATTCTCAGGATCTGTAGTCAGCCAATGTGACTTTATGTAAAAATTCTACTACCAGGCACATCCTTGAGAATTCATCATTCTCAGGCTGATTGAGTCATGGGATAATAGGATATTTAGGTGGAGAGGAGAAGTCAAATAGTGTCAGGTAGGAAAGAGGAGGTTGAAACTTTTTTATTAAGAATTTTACACAAAAACATGTTTTATATTGGTATGTAGTATATACAATTAAAATGCAATTATACTTTAAATCTATAGTCCAATCTTATTGTGGTTTTCAGTTAACATCTGTTTTAAAATAAGAGTAGAAGAACAGCACCTATATATTAAGCTGATATTAAAGCTTATTGTCCTTAATTTCTACATTTGGGGAACAAAATTTTACTGGTGTCTCTAATAGAAGCTGTCTTATGATGAAAGGGATAATATTTCCATGAATTTAAAGTATCACTGTTTGTTTTTAATTAAGATTATCTAGCAAAGTAACTTACAGTTACCCCTAGCACTGACAATAACTTGTGGATAACTTCATTTGTTCTGTCTGTATTGGTTACTCTGACAGTTTTATACTGTAGGAAAAAAAGAAATAAGAAATACAGTTACAAATAAAGATTTTTAAATCAGGTGAAGAAATAATTATTGTCAAATGATTATCCAAAGACACATCTTATTTCTTACGGAAAGAGTAAATCACAAGACTTAAGTAGAACACAAATGATTATAATTTATATTTATTTCCTTATAAATTATGCCTTTTAATAAAAATTTCTCTTAAATTAAAAGATGTGTGGGCCACAAATATAAGAGGTTGAGCAAGTAAGAAATATACTAAATATATTTCAGAGCGAGAGTACAGGGATCTAGCTAAAAACAAAAAAGAAGAAGAATCACTGAGGCTGGTCAACTACCTCATTTCGATAATTGTATTTCCACAACCTAATGGGTAATAAAAGGAGAAGCTGAATCTCTATTTTTTTCCCACAGTATTGTTTTCACACCACAATGTTTTATTTCTTTGCATGGTATAAAGTCAGTTTAGGTAAAATCTGAATAATAATTAGTTACAATAAACATTTAAAGCTTAGAATTTTTAAAAACCACTACTTATTGAGTACTTTCTACATGTCAGACACTGTGGCTACTAAGATTTTCATTGTTGAAATCTTTAGAGGATTTAAAACAAACAAGTCTAAAAGAAAGAACTGAAAATTTCAGAAAGTTCAATTCTATTACCAACTCTGACATAGAATCTTCTATAATCTACCCATAACAGCTTTCTGTTACACCACGGTGAGAATTGCTACTTAAAAAGACAATTTGCAAGCAGCAGAAAAAGAGCTAGCAAGATCCTTAGATATCTATATAGGTTGCTGAATTCCAAAAGATATTATTTAAATATAAAACAATGTCATGTTATCAAAAAATATTTTTTTAATATTTCAAAAAAATACATAAGTTTTATATATGATAATTATAAGAATTCAGTTATCAGGGCTATGTCCTTGATAGGGCTTAAAATGTACAAATAAGTAGCAGAAATGGAAAGACAATGATGTTTTTAAAAATATAAAAATAAAGCTAAGTGAAATCCACTGATAATTTATCACTTATCCTTCCATTAATAGTATTTCTTCCCTATGAGACAATTACTTGATGTGACAAATTGCCTCTAAAAGTGGTTTGTTAAATGAATTTTAATTTTTAAAAAAGTATTCTAAATGCATTAATATCAAATTGTACTCCTTACAGCCACAGGGATTATGCAAAATTGTCTCAGAGGCCAACAAGGGAGGGTTTGGAGCACCCAACTCCGTGTCTGTCTTCTACCAGAGTGTCAGGCATGTTATATACTAGGCTTTAACTTAAGACTTAATTTCAATAAGGGTTTCTGCATTTTTTTTTTAAGTTTAAAAGCACTTGCATTTAATTTGGAGAAACACTTTCATGAATCTTTTGTAAAGTGAAGAATCTATTCTCCTATTACCTAGCTTCTAACATAATGATGTTTTTAGTACTGGGCACATATACTTAAAATTGTAATTATATTAAGTGTATTTTTCCTGCATGCCTTTCTGATAGACAAAAAGAATGAATTTCAGAAGATAATGCTTTTTGGTTAATAAATAACAAAATAAATAGACAAAACTGAACATGTGGCAATTTTGTTGCATATTAGCAGAATTCACTGACAGGTTGTGCAGAGCTGAAGGACAAAGATAATACTTCCCATACTTGCACTCTCATTTGGGGGATTAACTCTGGAAGCAGGGCTCCTGGAAAGAGACTCTAGCCACGAAATCTGCTTCAGAGAGCAAAGGACAGAGTGTGTCATGCCATCCTTGACTTACTCAGGGTACTAATGATCAAAACAGAGCACCCAACCTGACCACATCTTCTATCTTTTCCAAAATGAGAGCGACACATCAGTCCTTTCTCAAGCACACACACGTTCCATACATTAAAAAGGTGTTTAAAAAAATTCAGGAGGTTTTCCATGAAAATCCTAAATGTATACCAACTGCCACAACAACTGAATCAAAGCAGGCAGAAACAATGTTTCATTTTGTTTTCTCCTATTTTGCTACAGAAGATCTGTCTTGTTTCATACCACTAAAATTTGGGTATTTCCCTTAAGCAGTTATTATCTGGCATTCAGGTGTTTGTCAGAATATTTCCATAATTTTTGCTTTTGGTCAAAACATAATGATTTTGTACTATATATTTTTCCACAAACAAAACTATTCTGTGTGATCCAGAGCTGCCATGAAGTATGACAGTCCATAGTATCACAAAAATATCCAAAAGTTCCCATCTTATTCATCATCATAACATATTGGCTCTTATGCTACAATATCAGTCAGTCATCCGTTATACCTAATAAATGGAGTTAAATTCTTAATTGTTTATTTGACCAATGTGATAAAACTGTAAGGCAGAAAAATGCTGATCCCTTAATGATGTCAACTTTTCCAGATCATCTACTAAGTATCTTGAGAAATTCAGTCCATAAAATCTCAAACTATAAAGTTTTCAACACCACTTTCTCCTTAAGTAGTGACAACTCAGAAAAAATGCTTAATAATAATTGAAAATACCTCTTTGTGGAAACGGCTTTACTACAACTAAAAGACTCAGAAACATTCGTGCCGGGGGAAGGAAGAGACATCTGACACGCAGTGCTCTTGCCACGCATACATGTCAAATATTATAGTTAATGTAGATTTCTCTTGCTTCATTTTCTCTAGGGTTTACTTTTCACATATACAAAGACATAGATATTCCTAGGAAAACGCACTCTCCCCCATGGCATTTCTAAATGCCTACCTTGCACAGCACAGACACAGTCTGTCTGCCTGTCAGTCTCTTTTTACCATGGTATTCTGCTTTAATGCAGGGACTTGGAATTTAATTTTCTTGCTTACAAACACTTACATGGACACAATTCCCCATGTCCTCGGTAAAGATTCTGAGGGGAATGCTCTTCGGGTGGTCCTTCTGTTTCTCGAGATCGATGTGTCTAATCAAATGCAAACACTGAGTCAGATGGAATTTGCTGATGGCTTACTTTTAAAATCAATCTCTTTTGCCAATATTTTCAATGTACTTATATGCTGTTTTTAAAGACAGATGAGAAGATTCAACAAAGCCAGATTACACTACGTGTTGAAAGGGAATTTTAAAAAAAACATGGCAGGACACTAGGCATGGGTGCAAATAAGAATGGGACCTCCACGTCACGTGAGGTTTGAGGAGCACAGGCAGGTTAAGGCACCTCTGGGTAATGTTTTATCCTTAACACTGCCCTGCCTTCTCTGGACACGTCCAGCACCTTGCTGATGAGAACAGGAGCATATAAAACACTTTACAAGGAGAAACCAAAGCAACGACCTTTTACTTCTCATCTAGCTCTCCAGTACAGTGTAAATCTTGGATATCTCATAGCTTGGGGAGGCGGAGAGCAAGGGAAGGGGGGAAGCACTATGGGTCTAGTAGACAATGCTAAGTCTATCATTTTACTCTGTATGCTCAAGGGTGGGGTTAATTGATTACTGAGGTGCTCAACAGAAAACCCTGCATTTATGGAAACTTAACACATACTTTGAGGAAACTGTTAGCTCCAGTTGGTAAACTAGAGACAACAGAAAGAGATGGAAGATATTATTGACTAATTTCTGCCTAAAATGATCTAACTAGACCTCAGTGCTCTCAATCCTAGAAAGTAAGAAATACATGTAATGAAAGAACATTATTTATAGCAAGTAGCAGCTAATGAACAATCTAAACAGCAGCTTATTTTTAGGACAAATGAACAATTTCTACTAAGCAGAGGGGAATAAGTTGGGGCACATCTCTGCAGAAAATTGTTTTTTAATTTCAGCATATTATGGGGGTACAAATGTTAAGGTTATATATATTGCCCTTGCCCCACCGGAGTCAGAGCTTGAACCACGTCTATCCCCCAGATGGTGCCAGAAAAGGTTTTAATTCATCCATTGCAGGTTAAAGATTAAAAATACATATACTGAAAAAAATACCTCTGAAGGAGAGAGAGCCATGTGTCTTTCTGTTCCAGAGAACTGCAATCAAAGAAAATGGAATACAGAAATCACATACACTACTTATGCTAACATATTTAAAACTGTCAATCCAGATGAAAACACGAACAGCCTATTGTTATTGATGTAGTTGCACATGTAAGATGCAACCTCAGCATAACTTTGTTCCCATAGTGAAAATGCCCTTTTGGAAAAATTACAGAGGCAGGTGTAGTTTTATTTAACCCTCTTGGATGGATCCAAGACAGACCTCCTTTTCGACTCAACTACTTTTCTACAAGTGGTATTATACCAGTACGTGGTAGCTCTTTATAGTGGAAAGAGTACTTGATTTAGAATTCAACACCTGGTTTTTCCACATCTGTAAAACTAGGTTAATTATCTCACTCAGAGTGTTTTTATAGCATAAAAGGCCATACAAATAGAAAGTATGCTTAATATTGAGATTAAAGAGATTAAGGAAAAATTTGGCATATGGATAAAATATCTTGGCCCAGAAACCAGACTCTTGTCAAGGAAAGAAACATTTTTTAAAAAATATATACACCAGAATTATGATTTAGTAAATGAGTTCATAGAAATCTTATTCTCAATTACTATAACCTTATTAAGATCAATCCATTTACAACTAAATTACTATTGATTAATATTTTTTTTGCTGATGTCACAGCTGGATTTAATTCTTAAAATTAGAAATAAAATTAACTATATTTCTATATGGTCTTGGCACTTACAAGCTTTTAAAAATCATACTTCTAATAACCTCTTTAAAGAAACTGGAAACCATACTTATTGTCTTTTTCCAACAAAATACAATTCATAAATATTTGCAATTTGTTTCTAACTTTGTTGCTTAGCAATTTTCTCCATCAGCAATCTCTCAGGATTGGCCATCAGAAAGCATATTACATCTTTTATACCACTAATCATGTAACTTCCATCTTTCATTTCTTACTATCTTTTCTAAAAAAGATTTTCTAGGTTCAAATTTTGTAGGTTTATGTCAAATCTTGGATTTATTCAGCAAAAACCTATGTGGAAAATAGATGAGACACTTTCTTGAGACCAATTAACTTTTTGAAAGTAGTTAAAGAAAACTACCCCTTTAGGACACTTAGTAATTGACAAATAAGTTGTATAGAGAAAACTTCACAAAGCTGTACTGTACCACTCAAAGAATTTTTACAAATTGAACAGACCTGCATAACCACCACCCAGATTATAAAACAAGTAATCACCTAAGAAGGTCACCTGATGTTCCTTTCGACCAGTAGTTCCCACTACCCTAACTTCCAAGAGCATAGAATTGTTTTGCTTGTTTGGGTATTTATGTAAATGTAATCATACAGCATATACTATTTTGAGTCTGGCTTCTTTTATTTAACATTATGTTTGTGAAATTTATAAATATCACCACATGTAGTTTTAGATCATTCATTCTTATTGCTGTATGGTGTTCTGTTGTTTAAATATATAGCACACATTACTTTAAAAAATAAATAAATTATTAAATATGTCAGCTTAATTTATTGAGATTGATCTATGTAATCTTATATTTGCCCCTTTCCCCTGCTCTATACTAGAATCCAGGGCTCTATTTCTTTAGTAGTTATTAATCTCAGGCATGTTTACAGGACTAAAAACAAAAGTGCTCCAAAGTAAATGGTTACCTCTGAGTTTTATAAATACCTAAACCCATTAAAAACATACTACTAATACTTGGGAGAGGAGAAAGCAGTGTATATTAAAGAAAGAAAAAGGCCATGGCACATTGGCAGATTCAAATTATGAAGGACATAGAAGTTTGTCATCCTTGATAGTGAGCTGGAAACCATGTCACTCAGTTAAGGTGTCCTAAGGAAACAAAGAACCCAGAGGAAATGGTGTTAAGGAGCAACCAGGGAGGCTGGGTCCCAGGCACCAAGGTTTTCATATCAGCAAGGAAGGAAGAACATCTTCCTTCCACATGTGGCAAGGAAGCAGAGTGTCTCTGGAAGTACAAAGAGAACTCTGGGCATAGAAAAAGATGATGTCAGTAGTGAAGCATCGCAGAAGTCTCTTGTATTCTGATTCTCCCTTAAGAAAACAGAGTTCCAGTAAAGAACATCTGATTTCCTACCTGCCTGGGAAAATGGAGGCTTAAGGGGAGTATGAATTTGATCTCTAAATAAACAGGCACACCTGAGTTTGTAACTTAAGACTCACAGTAGGTACATAAGTTAAAATAGTATTCTTCTGATTCCTCTTGTAGATAGACCATCATCAGATTGAAGTACTTCCTGTATGTTTTGAAAAATGTTCCCATCGTATCATACAGTTATCTGTAAAATCAAGTTGTAACACTTACTGTTCTTGTGCATATAAATCCTAGGTTTCTGGGCTGGGGCTTGGGCTCACGCCTGTAATCCTAACACTCTGGGAGGTCGAGGCTAGGGGATCGCTTGAGCTCAGGATTTGGAGACCAGCTTGAGCAACAGTGAGATCCTGCCTCTACTAAAAATAGAAAAAATTAGCCAGACATGGTCGCGCATGCCTGTAGGCCCAGCTACTCAAGAGGATGAAGCATGAGGATCGCTTGAGCCCAGGAGTTTGAGGTTGCTTTGAGCTAGGCTGACACCAGGGCACTCTAGCCTGGGCGACAGAGTGAGACTCTGTCTCAAAAAAAATAAAAAATAAAAAAAAAAATAAATGCTAGGTTTATAAATCAGAGTACATGTAGTGACAGAGATATGAAATTCCTTTTGGCCTTTTCTGAGATATGACTATCTGTCCTGTTTCCTGAAGTAAGACATGGAAAGTTCACATTGATTACTTGCTCTCTCCCCAATTAGACTCAGTTGGCAGTTCTTTAATATGGTAGTTGTCAGCCTTAGATTTCAAAGCTATTAGCTTTTTACTTTTTTTTTTTTAATAACTATTATAGTAACTGGGTAGGAGAGATTGCTTCTTAAGCTGCTAGCTTGATGGTATTTTATACTGATCATGACCTAGAGTTCACTGAAATTTACCAAGACATAACACACCATTTCTAACGGTCTTCATCCCTTACTAAAGATCTGAGCGTCCTTCTGATTATTTCATTTTGTCCTGAATAACTTCTTTTAACATGTTATTTGTATAATAGGTGTGTTGGCAGTAAATTCTTAGGTTTTTTTTTTTAAATCTATTTCACCTTCATTTTTTAAGAATGTTTTTGCTGGTTATTGTATTCTAGGTTGAAAGTTGTTGCTTTCAACACTTTAAAGATGCTCCAGTGTCTCCTGACCTTCACATTTTGCAATGAAAAGTCTGTAATAATTCAAATAATCATTCTCTTATTTGTAATGCATTGTTCTTCTCTGTCTGCTTTTAAGATTTTTCTCTTATCGATGATGTACAATAATTGTCTATAACATGACCAGGTATAATTTTTATCCATCTCATCCTGTCTGGGGTTCTCTGAGCTTATTCCAATTTGTACATTTATGTCTTTCACCAAATTTGAGAGGTTTTTATATACATTATAGCTGCAAATATTTCTTCTGCCCCATTCCATTTCTCTTTTTTCTGGAATTCCAATTACATGTATGGTATACATTTTGACATTTTCCCACAAGTCCCTGATGCATTTCTCATTTTAAAAAAACTTTGTTTTCTCTCTTCATCAGATTAGAAAATTTGTGTTGATATATCTTCAAATTCACTGGCTACTGTTTCACTTCCATTCTGCAAGAAAGACCAATATCTTTTATTTAAGATACTGTAGTCTTCAGTTCTAGAATTTCCATCTGGCCATATTAAAATATTTTCTACTTATTTGCTGATATTACCTATCTTTCCATTAATCTCAATTGGATTTTCATTTTACCTAGCATGTGTACTTATGAAAACTGCTCTACACGTCTTTTCTAGTAATTTCACATATAGGGCATCTCAGGATAGGTCACTATTGATTTACCTTTTTACTTTCCTTGTACTTCAGATATCAGGGAATTTTAGATTATACTTTGGACATTACAAATTTTGGTTTTGGAGACTGTATTTTGCTATATTTCCAAGAGTGTTGATGTATTTGCTTTTGCAAGCAACTAACTTGATTAGCTCAAGCTACAAAATACAATCCACCCCTGGTGGGGAGCATGCTGTTCAGTATAATTCTTTTGGTCTTAGCTTTAAGCTGCAAATCTATCCTAGGCATGTGGGGGTGTAGCAGAGACTTGGGCAGTGTCTATACACAGAATTTATAGCTTCCCTTCTTTGACATGTTCTTTTATGAGATTGTCCCCCTCATGGTGTAATAGCTGCGGTTGACCTGGACTATGTACTCTGGTTCTTCAGCCCAGAAAGATTAAGAATTTGTGTCAGTTTTAGTTGCCCTACACCATGATGTGACTGCCTCTTGCCCTCAGACGGAAGCCCTAAAACCAGGAAACTCACCCACTGCTGGTGCCTTCTTCCAAGTTTTAACTCCTCTTCAAAATCTGCCAACTTTTGTTCATTCTCCATAATCTTCAGGTAGATTTTGGAGTTTACAGTTGTTATTTGTAGGGTGGTCAGTCTGTTAAGACCCTACTCTGCCATACCAGAGGAGAGGCAGAACTCAACACTTTACTTTTTTAAAAAAAATAAACTTAATTTTGAAATACCTTTAGATTTCCAGAAAACTTACAAAAATAATACATACACCCCTAGTTTACTTGTCCCCCAGTTTAATTTTTTGTAATGTTATTCTCTTACATTATCATGGTCCACCTGCTAAAACTAAGAAATCAAAACTAGTACATTACTAACTAAGGTCTTGACTTTATTCGGATATCTCTGATTTTTCCATTAAAAGCCTTTTTCTGTTCAAGGAGCCAAACCAGAATACCGCACTATATTGAATTATCATGTCTCTTAGTAATGGATCTCTGACAGTTTCTCAGTCTTTCCCTGTTTTTGTTTCTTGGCTTTGAGAGCTTTGAGGAGTACTGGTCCGGTATCCTGTACAATGTCTCTCAATTTGTAAGAATTGGAAGTTTTTCTCATGATTAGCCAAGAGTTACAGGTGTTTCGGGGAAAATGACCACAGAGTAGAATTGCTCTTATCATCATGCTATATAAAGGAGTACATGATATCCACATGACATCCCTGGTAATATATTAACCTTGTTCACTTGGTTGGAGAACCATAGTTTGAGCAATACACTATATATGTATACAACTTCCTTTCACATTTCGCCCTCTTCTTATAAAGAAGCTTCATGGAAATTCTTTGATTAAAAAACATCATGTAGTCACACCCCTCACTTGAAATCGCTTTCCTTCACCTGTAACTCTAAAGAGATTAAGCAATAAGACATGATAATATCTATAGAAATCTGTCATGGAAAAGAAGATATACAAAGAAAGACACAAACCCATGTTCTTTCCAAATAAGTCTTAAAATCTGTGGTCGGCCAATAATGCACAGTAGAGTTTAATGACATGCCTGTCTTTAATAGAGATTAACAGCTTGGAAAATTTTAGTTAACTGGCTTTAGGATGATGCCTGAGGAGTTTGGTGTTAGTAGGAAAGAAGCAAAATGAAAAGCATCATGTGCATGTAATGGATACTAAATATTTAAGAGCAAAACTAGTACTGGAGTTGGAGCACAGCTGTTCAAAAGCACAGGGGGAGTTTGGTATGCTCTCCCTGAACTGTAAAGTGCCAATTAAGCATGTTCAGCATAACAGAACAAAAATTCTTTATTCATACATTCTCCAACCCTATCCCCACCTTCAAGTGACTCTTGGGAAACCAATTTTTATTCCTTAAAATATTAAGTTTGCCCTTGATTGTCACATTTCTATAGATACTAAACCAAAACTGATATACAATTCAGGCAATCCAGTATTTCATGAAATTATTTTTATTTGTATGATAATAAATTACTTCTTTAGAAAATTTCAGAGTATAAACCACTTATCCAAACTTACTGGGACTATTTTATAAAATTTGCTTTAGTAAAGGTCATTTCAGTGGTTTGAAAAGACTGGTAGGACTCGAAAGCTCAATATGTCAAACACATCCCTAGACAAGGGACAATGGAGAGGGAGTCCTAAAGATCTGACCACCAGTCTATTCTCCTTCCATATTGCTGTAAGTTCTCATCCCCCCAGTTGTTTCAGTAGAGCCCCTTTAAAACTCACTGGTCAAACCAAGGCAAATGACTTTAAGAGTTCCCAACAATTACTATTCATTTTCATAGGTTTTAATCAAAAGCTCTTTGGGAGAAACATAAGGCACAAAAGCATCTTGGTTGGGTGTATGTGTCTCAAAAGATGAGCTATTGACTTCAGAAACAATCAGAATAAAGTATTTTCCTTCTAACAATTTGGGGAACAACATTTACTTAAATTTTTTCTCTCATCCCAGAAATCACCATAGTAGCTAAACAAGGTAAATACAGGACACACTGTGGTTCTTACCTGAAAGTGGCCACAAAGTTCTGAGTGGGCCAGCCCAAGACAAAGGATTTCATAGCACTGCCCTTGCCATCTCCCACTTCATCGACACAGCTTGCTGTCCACATATCAGATAATTTAATCTTGTTTTTCATCTTCAAGTTATTCTTATTATGCCTAGAAAGATAAAAACCAAAAAGGACCTCTTATTATTTTGTTTCTTAAATTGTATGGGAGATTCTGTACTTGTGATAGACATCTTATACATTGTTTTTATCTTCAGTGGCTAACACAGTGAATTATAACATAGTAGGTTACCTTGGAACAAGAAAACCTTTAAGACATTTGGTGAAGCATTTATTCCTCATGTCTGCATGTATGGCAGCAAATAGCCATAAACTGCCATTTTGTTTTTCTATACATTGAGCACTGCATTTGGATCAAAAGCCAAATTTACTGCTGTTATAAAAAATTATTTCATTATTTATAATTTGCTTATTTACAAAAGGACTGGAGTGGCTGAATGTAAAAAATATACATGATTTATTATGATGTTTATAAAATGTCCATTTTAAGAGAGATGCACTGAAAAAACCTGGAATTAACTAGAGGAATTTATAACACATTTTCAACGGAGTGGTTATGAGGTTTTCTAGTCTTTAGAAGCATAGATTATTTTAAATTTCCTTTCTTAAGATTCTGTTCAACCATTTTCCCTTATATTCTGGCTAAAGTTGAAGAATTGTAGCCTAAAAAAGAAGCTAAGAGAAAGTAGCATTGACACAACTAATGTTTATCACTGGGGACTCAGAAGGGGATCTACTTTTAGTCAGCAGTGAAATTCCTTTTTGACAATTTCTTCTTACTGCCCCTTAGACCCCTGGTATGGAAACCATCATATTTCTTGAGCTATTTGACAGACTTATTGCTCAGATGAACCTGAGATTTAAATGGAAGGAACTGAGTAGGATAGAGAGAACACCCGGGGAAACTTGGGTCCTTCCTATCATTTGGAACCATTTGTGGAAAAGCTAAGATAAAATCAAAGATACCTCATGCATGGAAGCATCCCTAATACTCCTCTGATTCATGGAATAGTAAGGCTAAAACTCTTAAGTGGGATTATAAAATGAAAAGATATTGCAGGAAATACACATGAAGGACAACCTAGATTTAAAGACTCGTCTGTGCTTCCCACCGGATGCACCGAATTTAAGTGTAATAGAAAAGTGTGTTGTGGCAAAATGGCTTCTTTCTGTATTTTATTTCAATTTTTTTTACCCTATTGCTAAAAATCATTAGATTTTTTATGAAACAGATTCAATTACAGACTGAATCTTATTTTGTCATGCCAATTATTTAGGTAATATAAAACTAAGACTAAAAATCTTTTGGAAGGAAAGGTATGTTTGTTTTCATACACTTTGTGTTTTCTAATGCAGATCTCTATCTACATTGGATACTTAGGATATCATGTGGAAACACCCACATCTCCTGACCTGGCGATAAAGTCATCCCAAAGATCCTTTCCTAGATCAATAAAGTGCCACCCCTGATGCCCAAAGCAAGGAACTGTCTACAGGTATGAACAATGACTTCCATTCTCCTATACTATAAGTAATAGCGACTATTTATTGAGAATTTACCATGTGCCAGTCATTGTTCCAAATACTTTACACATATTATTTAATTTAAAACTCAAACATTTTATATGTGAGGAAATAGAGTCACAGAGGGATTAACTTGCCAAAAGTCAAACAGCTTAAGAGGCGGAGCTAGATCTGACCTTGGCAGTGCTGGCTCTTGAGCTTATTTGTGCTCTTAACCACTGTGCATCCATAAAAAGCCTTGGATATTGCCATTAGCATGAAGCATCTTGAGGAAAATATCTCTCCATGAAGTTCCCTTTGGCTTTTCTCTTTGGCCTACTTTTTCTTAAATCTCTCCAGAGCAACAAGGCTTTCTGATGGTGCTATTTGTTTATAATGGAGGTTGGAGGATAAAAATTATGAGCATTTATATACATAAAACTAGAATAGGCTTGAAAATATGTAAAACAAGAATTGCAAAAACTGTGTATTGAAATTTACCATTCTGGGGTCACAGTGTACTTTTTCAGATATTTCACTCTCAATCTCCTATAGTATTATAATATAGAAATTAAAAAAAAATAAATCTAATGTGAACTTGTTCCAATGGAATGACTATTTCCAATAATATTAGACCAACAGAAATTTAAAAAATATAAAGCTAATGTGAACTGACTGAAAAATTTTTTAAAAACTTAAAAATAAATTCTTTATTTCTACCATGTAGTCTCTTAGTACAAATTTATTAACGGGACATAGTTTCCTTTCGTATTCTCCAAGCTTCATACTGGAAGGAATTCCAGTAAATTATTGAAATACACATGATTCTAGGGAGACTTTTTTCCCATTCTGAGATAGAGATGTCATATTAAATATGTTTTTGGGCAGAGATCATGATATATTCCATGAGTATCTAATGGTAAGTCTATAGTAAATGAGCTTACTTAACTTCATCTTTTTTACCTTAAAGAACTCAGTATTATTTACTAATTGCTTATTCTCATAAGAGATGAAAATAATGATGTCTTAGGAGGGTGTTAGGTAAGGACAGTTATTTTCTTTTGGTAAATTCCATATAGGTGCCCTATCAGCTACTAACTTCTTTCCAAATAATGTAATGCTTATAAAACATATCTTACTTTATAAATGAAAGCCACAATTTTATTAGAAAAATAAGTTTATCTTCCTAATGAATATAAAAGTTACTCCCAAGGGCCTATTCAGCTTTAATACTTTCCTATATCAGTATGGAAAAGAATAACAATAAATTGAAAATAATTTTCAGCAAACAGTGTCAACATCCAGCAAAAGCAGAGCAAATATAATACTTTAGTCAATAAAAGGGTGTATTTAACACCCTTTCTATTATTGCTCTTACTAAAATTCCCTTAGTTTGACGAAATAAATATGTGACAGCTTGTCAATTATTTATCCCACTTGAGTTTACTTGTATAGGCCCAATGCAAGGACTGAAAGCAGTTTCCAAATGAAGCTTAAAGATGAGTTGGCATAATATGGAACTGAGGTCTCCCCTTTTCTCCATGGCTAAGTATGAAGACCAAGCACTGGTCTCAGAGTATTTCGACAAATTAATTGATCCAGGGTACCACTCGATTCTTTATCCAATGGTAAGGAGTGACACAGGTTTGGTATTGCAAGAATCTATTTCATTTTGGTTGCCATTTATTTTGGGGAAAAAATTCAGTTCTTTCATTTTAAGAAGGTTCTGTAAATCTATCTAAATGTTTGCTATGAGAATGAGCATGTAATACATTCCTAAAAAATTGTCTAAATTGTTGTAAGGTGGCAGGATTTAATCATCATCATCATCATCTCCTCAAATATCCATCTTCCTTTCCATCTTAAAGTCCTGTGCTTATGCCAAAAACATAAAAAATAATATAGATCACCCAAACTTTTAAATATTCCCAATGGATGTAGAAAGTATTTAAAATAATCTTCCTTGAATTGAATCTCATAAATAATAGCATTTACATCAATTGATATAAATGTTGTCATTTCATGAAAACATTAGAGTAGACACAGAGTTATGTATGGAAAATGGTGTACCCTTATGTGAGGGACAATTTAAAAAAAGCAATAAAAGTAGACAATGGGCACAAATTTTGCCAATATATATAAAAAAACAGCAATTTTCTAGTGGTAATACAATTGTCTTTATATAAAATATTTTTAGTAAAACATAGGTTACATAAAAACAACGTAGATGTGAACGGTATACAGAACAATAAACAATTTAAGGCAAAAAAGCAAAGGTTCTCCTAAATATTACCATAACTGCTGAGGAAAAAAAAATCCAAAAAAGAAGGAAAATACCTTCTTCCCTAAGAGTTGAATGCATGTTACAAGTTAAGTAGCCTTTAAGGTCCTAAAGTTCAGGAAATTGGTTGTTGTCTGCATATCTACCTCCAGGCTAAGCTCTGCACCTAAGGAGTACAGTGTGGTAAGTAAGGAAGACAGAAAGAGCCAGCCTTTGGAATTAAAGTCTGTGTTCAAGCCCCTTCCATTTCCTAGTGTATGACAAACCTCCCTGAGCCTCAGTGTTCAACATCTAAAACAACTCTTACCTTGGGGGGTTGCTAGGAAAATTAAACAAGACCTTTCTGATTCTCCTATTATAATACCAAGCATATATAATAGAAGCCATCCAATAATTTTTAAATGAAGAAATTAAAAAAAAATAATGATTTGTTCTTCTGATAATAGCCTCCCTACTTAGATCTTCAGGTAGACTTATTTGAGTGGAAAGGCTTAGATAAAAAAAAATGAAAACCAATTTTCTTTCACTGTATTACTCAAAACATCATATCCACTTGCAAAACTACATTTGTATGTATCACTTCTGTTGAAAATATTCTGAAACTGTTTCGTTATCTTTATGTCATCTTTAACTCTGAAAAGGTTCTAAGCATTCTATACCATTTCTTACTAAATGAGTATTTAGTTGGAACCTTTTACTTATCACAAAGAAAAGACTCAATTAATGGTGAAAATTATATGGTTGAGGGCTCTTCTATGAAATCCATTAAAAAAGAGTTCAGTAATAGAGGCAGCAGAACACATATTGGCTAAAAGAATGGACTTTGCAATAAGATAGATCTAGGTTCAAAGGTAGGTTCAACTAATTACTCTGTGACCTTGAGGAAGTCACTTAATTTCTGTTTTGGAAAATTATTTACCCTTGCCCATGTCTTATTTATGGCACTCAGTAACTTAGGTGTGTGAGTGTGGATAATAGAAAAAAGTGTTTACTCTTCTCTAGTGACTAAAAATCTCCTTCATGAGATTGGATTTGTTAAAATACTTTTATCTTTGCTGATGTTTCATACATAAGGACAATGGGAAACAGAGCCAGCGGCAGTCACCATGTTCTAGGCTGAGTATTAAGTACACTGGCATTTAGTGTTGAGCAGCAAGTGAATCCTCTTGGGTACCTCTAAAGTACGTTCCAGACATGTCTGTATCTTCCTCTTACCTGTCATTTCCTCAGATAGAGCCCTCACTATCTCCTTCAGGACCACTAACAACTTCCTATCTAGGCTCCTTGCTTCCTCTCTTGCCTGCCGCCTTCCAACATACTATCTAACTAGCATGAGCCAGAATTATAGATTTTTTTAAAAAGAATCACACTCTACCACTCCCCCATTTAAAACCCTTCAGAATGAAATCCGAAGTCTTTATCATAGCCTTTGTGGTACTAAGCCTCCAAGATGGTCCCCATGATCCTTAGTTCCTGATATTCATACAGTGTGTAATTCCCTTCCATGCTGTGCCAGGGTTGGTCTGTGTGGCCAATTGCATACATCAGAAATGATGGTACACTACTTCCAAAATCAGGTTATAAAATACTGTGGTTTCTATTTTGGGTGCTATTTCAATGGCCTATTCTCTCTTTCACTCTGTTGGAATTTTTCACTCTGAAGGAAGCAACCCTGTGGAGAGACCCACGTGGAGAGGAAGCCTTTGGAGAACAGCCATGAGGAATTACAGCTGCCAGCACCCACATGAGTGAGCTTGGAAGTGGTTTCTTGGGTTCCAGTTGAGCCCTGAGATAATTGGTACCCTGCCCAACAAGCCAGAGAGCCCTCATGAAGGCTCGTGAGCCAGAACCACCCAGTGAAACACTCCCAGATTCATCACTCAGAGAAAATGTGGACGTTTACAGTTTTAAGCTGTTATGTGTTGGAGTCATTTGTTACACAGCAATAGATAATTAATACAGCCTACAAGGTCCTGACGATCTAACCTTTGTCTATGTCACCAATCATAATTCCTATCACTCCCTTTTGCTCATTAGGCCCCAGTTACACAGGCCTTCCTTGAAGTCCCCTAAGGGCCAAGCTTTTCCCACCACCTTTGTACCTGTTTTCTCAACCTAGAACGCTCATGGTCCCGATATCCATCTAAATGGCTGGTTGCTTTTCATCCTTCAATGATTTTCCCCCCTGACTACACCCACCTAACACATACCCCATCTTTTACTTCACCCACCACCCCATTTTCTTCATAGCAAAATCACAATCTGTCCTTTCCCCACTACACACGAAGGTAAGCTCCCATATTAGAATGTAAGCTACCAAAGAGCAAGAACTATCCCCATCACATCCTTCATTATATTTCCTACATTTATTCAGGGCATGGCACAGGACCTAAACAAACATTTGTTGTATGAATAAAAAACGGAAACTTTATTTTTCAAAAAAAAAGGAACAAACATAATACTCACTTCACATATTAGGTATAGTAACAGAGGCCAGGCATTCTTACAATAACTATTGAATAGAAAGAGTATCTTTGTTAGTGGAAATGCAATTTTATAATGATAACCAGGAGAGAGTGTGCAGTCCACTTACTTGCTTTTGGCCACAACAAGCAGATCGTTGAATAAAAAAAGATGCCGCTCCTGCCTCTGCAGGCCTGTTCTGAGCTCCACCAGGCCGTCAATCAGCAGAGTCCTACTGGAGCAGGCAAATGCCGTCAAAAATGCCCAGGTTTTCATGGCAGCAGAAGATCTTTCCCTGTAACAGATCAAATTCCACAGATCATCAGTCAAATGATCAAATATAGGACCAAATTTTTATAAAATTATAGCTTAAAGTTGGTCAATAAATATAAAACTCTGTAACTTTTTAACACGATGGCAGTGTCCTCACTGGTGCCCCAAGGTATTCTCCACACAGCAGTCTTCAACACCTCATTATGAAAATTTTGAAACATAATGCAAAGTCGAAATAGTTTTATGATAAACACATGTATGTATACCTCAACATAGATTTTACCATTAATATTTTACTGTGCCTGCTTTATTATATATGTATTCTACTATCTATCCTTCTATTTATTGATTGATTGATTCATTTATTTATTTAGAAACAGGGTCTTTCTCTGTCACCCAGGCTGAAGTGCAGTGGTGTGATCATAGTTCATGGTAACCTCCAACTCCCGGGATCAAGCGATCCTCCTGCTTCAGCCACCTGAGTAGCTGGGACTACACGCATGTGCCATCACACTCAGCTATTTTTTTTAATTTTTTTTTTGTAGAGATGTGGTCTTGCTATGCTAACCAGACTGGTCTTGAACTCCTGGCCTTAAGATATCCTTCTGCCTCGGCCTCCCAAAGGTCTAGGGTTACAGGCATGGCCACCACACCGGGTCTATTTATCAGTCTATTTTGTTTTTGGCATTTCAGTGTAAACTGCATACAGCAGTACATATCCCCCCTAAACACTTCAGCATGCATATCATTAACTAGAGTTCAATATTTAGACTTTATTTTGATATAAAATTTACACACAAAATGTACAAGTATACAAGTCTCAGGTGTATATTCACTGACTTTTTTTTTTTATAAAGCACTTTTTAAAGCATTGCATTCACTGACTTTTGACAAATGTATTCACCTGTGTAATCTAAACCCCTATCAAGATATAGGAAATTATCATCACTCAGAAAAATTCCCCCTTCTAGTTATTATCTAAATTAAGAAAATGTACTTCCTATGGATTTACCTCTGGGTTTTTTCTTGATTAAAGGCTGAGGTCTGTTAGCTCAAAAGCTCACTGGTGCCAAACTCAAATTTTCACATACACAGTCATTTGAAAAATGGCCCCCACAAAAAGATTTTTAGCCACTAACAGCCTGCCTGCTTTGCATACTCCATAAAACTAGATCCAGCATCTGCTGGCCACTGATAAGAGAGAACCTGTGGTTATGAGACCCCAAGCTGCTGATGCCCCTTATGGCTCTCTGACCCAGACATTCCTCACTACTGAGCAACATCACCTGGACATGTCATCTCCAGAGACACCATCTCTGATTCTCCTCTCATCCAGAATTCTCTTGCCCTCTTCCCCAGTTAGATGGTGGCCCCTCATCATAAGCCTCTGGACGGTCTCTTGTGGTGAGGGACTCCTTTTCTTATGCAACCTTGTGCCATCATCATCTCCTTTTTGCTTGATCAGTGCCCGAATCCCTCACACTCCTTATACCAGTCAGTCCCCACTCCAACACCCTGGAGGAAACCACTATTCTGACTTCTTTCCCACTGAAGGTTTTCCCATCTCAAGAAACAAAATGAACCTCAGCCTCTACCTTATACCATAAACCAAAAATAATTTGAGATAGATCATAGACTTAAATGTAAAAACCAAAATCATCAGTGTTTTAATAGAACACATAGGAAACTATCTTCGTGACTGAGGGATGGGTGAAGGTTGTGCCTGTTCTAGACTTTTATATAACTGGAACTACAGTATGTACTCTTTTGTGTAAAATAGCTTTTACTCAGCATGTTTTTGGAATTCATTTATCAATGATCCATTTCTTTATATTACTGAATAGTATTCAATGTATAAATATACCAGAGTTTATTCTCTTATTGATGGACACCTGGGATGTTTCTAGTTTTAACTGCTATTGAACATTGTACTAGTATTTTTGTGATCTATGTTTTAATTCCTCTTGGATAAATATCCCAAAGTGGAATTGTTGGGTCATAGAATATGTGTATGTTTAATTTTAGAAAAAAAAAAAAAACTAGTTAGTTTTCCAAAGTGGTTGTACCATTCTATATTCCCTGCAAAACAGCAGAAGAGTCCTAGCTGTTCCACAACCTTAAAAACATTTGCTGCTGTCAGTCGTTTGAATTCTAGCCAGTCTAGAGGAGATATAGTGGCCTCTCATTAAGATTTTAACTTGTAGTTCTCTGATGACTAATTACTGTCATGTTCTTACTGGCCATTTGTGCATTTTCACTGGTAAAATGTCTTCAAGTCTTTAGCTCATTAGTTTTACAAAAATGAGTTGTGTGTTATTATGCAAATGTAATCTACTGTGTTATAGGAATTTTTTATGAATACTGGGCACATTGTGCTGGTATACAGTGCTCTGTCAGGTATGTGTTTGGGGAAATATTTGCTCCCAGTCTCTTGCTTGTCTGGTACACTTTCCTTACCGTGTTTTTGACAAAAGCTTTAAAATTTCATGAAGTTTAATTCATTGATTTTTTTCATATAGTATTTAATTTCTGTAACCTCTCTATGAAAACTTCTAAGAAATTATCTTCTTAATTAAATTTCCATTAGGCACCTATTAAAATGAGGTTACAGTTCCTAATCAACACAATGATTAAAGCATATGTCTTTTTGGGATAGGTCAGAAAGAGTACTGATCAGAGAGAACTTGCTGAGTACTGGGAAGAAAGTCACCTAAGTATTTTGATAAGTTTCATTAAATGGAATTTGAATATAGAATCTATAGTGGCACTAAAAACTTCCATACATTCATATAGATTTTATTTTAAATTAGCACATCATTCACAAAAAGATAGCTGCAGGTATACCCTCACTTTAAATAAAGATGAAGACTTCACTTTACATAAAAGGATTCACAAGTTGGAAGAAAGTCATCGCAGGATTCATTTGAACACAAAAATATGGTATGAGTTAAAAATGCCATTTAAAAATGAATGAATAAATTAATAATTGAATATCCATTAAATTTCTACACATTATGAAAGATCCTTAAAATGTCCACTGAAATAGTAATTAGCCACAATAGGGAAGATGACCACTTTATTACATATTTGGCCTGTTTTTCCACTTCAAATTTCACTAATTTAACCAATAATATCTAAAAGAAACCAATATTCCATTTTTTGTAGTCTCAATCTGGTTATCTTCCTTCATATCTAAAACTGGTGAGAAAAATGACCTTTATGCATGCACAGGCATAACCCTATGATAAAAAATAAGCCATATTTTGTGTACAACAATATTCATTTTTCAGTATTCTGATTTCTGATTATTTCTACAAATATACTTTGATAAAATATGGAACCTACATATTTGTGTACTATGTGACGTGAGATTCACTATTCAACCAGTTTTAAACCAACCAAGCTTATACACCAGCTCTAAAAGGCAGTATGATTCCCATAAAGAAGAGGTCTTCTTAAATAACCTCAGGACAGCAGTCATGCTTTCTATGACTAAACAGAGAACAAAAACCACCCACACATAAAAAATGTGACCTGAAAACTCTTCATCTAATATAAAATTCCAAGCACATATCAGATGTGTAGTACAAAGCTTTGCACTTACATGTTGGTTCTAGGCTGTTCTTGTGGGGCTTTATCAGGGAGAAGAGATGGAACAGTCCTCCTTCTTTCTACTAATGCTTTCATTTTCTGCTGAGGAAAAATAAATAATTGAAGACCAAGTGGTTTGTGAAGTAAGCAAAAGTTGATTTTCAATCCAATTCAACAAGTTTCGTATTGCCCATCTTTGCCTATCAAGGAGCCTGCAATTTCAGTAGGCAGATAAAGTATAACATCTAAAATAGAAAAGTTTGAAAAATAGAATAGTAAGTGTAAAACAGTAGTATAGGCAGTGTGTGTGTGTGTGTGTGTGTGTGTGTGTGTGTGTTTTGTCAGAAAATAAAGTGGTTAAATGTTGATTAGAATATTTGGGAAAAACACCATCATAACCATTATTATTGCTGATTATGTGTCCAGCCCTATGCTCAAGGCTGGAGATGGATGCTCAGAGCTATTTATGCCCCAAAGTGTCATTGGAGAGGGCACTACTCTGTGTCACAGGCAGGAGAGGTCCCAAACAGGCCTTCACGGAAAGACAAGTAAAGGGGAGGAAAAAACAGTTAAAGCAAAGACATAGGCACTACAAATTTAAAATCACATGAAAATTTAATGAAACTTTACATTTGTTTTAAATTTAAATGTTCACACACTTGAGAATCCCTCCTTCCAAATAGATGTTTTTTTGCTATAACTTAAAAAGAATAATTTTTTTTATTCTAGGTGCTATATAAATATAATTCAGATACTCTGTTTCCAATGACCTAAAATTTGTGGTAAAATGAGGTTTTATTCCACTTGAATTATCCAGATAATTACTCTGTAAATTCAATCTTATGTAATCAAAACCTCTAAAAACAGCCACTACATGAGTAAAACAAACACTATAGTCGTTGTAACAGTATAGTCACAAACAGCCATGAGTGGAATTTAGGCTGTCTCACCAAAGCCATTCTTCCTGCTATAACAATCTCACCTTATCCTGGCCAGAGATTTCACCCACTTCGTAGGAGCCTAGGCCAGCCATGCATGCAAAGTGAATGTTGTTTCAATAGGAACCATCTAAAACTAATTAGCTGCCTCAGTGTCACTATTCCATTACGTGATTTATAAAGGCAGTGCCTTACAAAAGTCACCCTGACCAAAAAGAAAAAAATGTCTTATGCTGGGGAGCGGGAGGTGGAAGGACATGGCTACTTCCCACTCCCCAGTAGACAAAAATCCCCCCCTCCAACCCTGACCACCACCTCCAAGACCCGGAGTCATGCGACCTCCGCCCGGGCGCGGGAACTGCCCCCCATTTACGTGGAGCGGGAACCCCCCATTTATGTGGAGCGGGAACCCCCCCATTTACGTGGAGCGGGAACCCCCCCAATTACGTGGAGCGGGAACCCCCCCAATTACGTGGAGCGGGAACGCCCCCATTTACGTGGAGTGGGAACTCCCCATTTACGTGGAGCGGGAACCCCCCCATTTACGTGGAGCGGGAACCCCCTCATTTACGTGGAGCGGGAACCCCCCTCCCCATTTACACGGAGCGGGAACCCCCCCTCCACGCGCATTTACCACGGAGGCGGGAACGGCCCCCAGTTTCCGTGGAGCAGGAAACGCCTCCCCATTTCAGGCGGAACCCCCCACGTTACACGGAGCGGGAACCCTCCCCATCTACGTGAGAGCGGAAGCCCCCCTCCCCATTTACACGGAGCGGAACCCCGCCATTTACGTGGAGGGGGAACCCCCTTTACGTGGGAAGGCGGGACCCCCCCACATTTACGTGGAGCCGGGAACGCCCTCCCATTTACACGACGGAACCCCCCCATTTTACGTGGAGCGGAACACCCCTCCCCATTTACACGGAGCGGGAACCCCCCTCCCCATTTACACGGAGCGGGGAACCGCCCTTCGCGTGGAGCAAGGAAACCCCCTCCCCATTTACACGGAGCGGAACCCCCCATGTTACGCGGAGGGGGCGGCGGCGCCTCAGGCGGGCGAGGGCGACCCGGGGCGCGGGCCGCGGCCGGCACCACCTGCCGATCAGCGCCGCTGTCCCTCCAGGGGCGGACGCCGCCCGCCCCTGACGACCTCTGTGCGCGGCCCGCCGAGGGGGCAGTGGCCCAGCGCCACCTGCGGGGAGCCGAGCCGGCGGATGGAACCGGGTCCCGCCCGCAGCCGCGGCGCGCCGCCCGCAGGGAGGAGGCCGGGCTGCGGATCGCGCGGCTGAGAGGAAAGGCGGCTGAGGATGCGGGGTCTTTTCTAGAGGAGGAAAAGCAATCGCGAAGCTCTCCAAGGGAGAACTCGAGGACAGCGAAGAGAAACGCCGGAGGCGGGCCGAGGGACAAGCGTGGCGCGGGGGGGGGGGATAAGTGCGGCCGAAATGGCGGGCGGCTCCGCAGAAGCGCGCCGCGAGCGTGAGCGTTTTGAACCGCCTCGCGCCGGCGTCTTCGTCCTTCCGCTTGGCGGCGAAAGCTGTGGAGAGCGCGGGGGCCGCGGCGGCGGAGGGCACGCGCCCAGCTCAACGGCCGCATCTTCCAGGTGCGGGTCCTCGAGCGACCGGGGACTCTCCGAGGGCGCGCGGGCCCGGGCGGCCGCGTTCGGGCAGGGAGAGGACCCCGCGTGCAGGCGGCGCGCCTCTGCTGGGGCCGCGCGCCTCCTTCCCGCTCTCCGCGCGGGCGCTGGAGGGATCACGGCGGGGACAGCCAGTGTGCATGGGCGGAGTGTGGCGACCTGAGCTTGAGAGGAGGAGTTGCAGTGATTGCTGCCTGGCTTTCAGCGGACTGCAGAGGGAAGCCCGCCCCTGCCCCCAATCCTGAGGCCTCTGGATGTGATTGCACTTTGCAGAGTGCAGCGGGCTGTGCAGCTTTGGAAGCCCGAGACAACTCCTGACCTCTTGTGCAATCCGGACGCGAGCCTGTCCAGCAACCCTAACTGGCTTCTGCAGCTCCTGGGCAGCAGCCCCTACACACATTTGCACCATGCTATTTTGGTTACCATAACTTTGTAGTATAGTTTGAAGTCAGATAATGTGATGCCTCCGGATTTTTTAGTATTGCTTTGGATATTAAGGGTCTTTTTTTATTCCATATGAAATTTAAGATTGTTGTTTCTAATTCTGTGAAAATGACGTTGGTATCTGGATGGGAATTGCAATCAATCTGTAAATCACTTTGAGTAATATGGACATTTTAACAATATTGATTCTGCAGTTCATGAACATGGAATGTTTTTCCGTTTGTGTCATCTGTTATTTCTTTCATCAGTGTTTCCATGTAGAGACCTTTCACCTCCATGGTTAAATATATACTTAAGTATATATAAATATATACTTATATATTTATATATACCTAAGTATTTTAAATTTTTTGCAGCTATTATAAATGGTATTCAGTTCTTGATTTGAGTCTCAGTTTTGCTATTATTAGTATATAAAAATGCTACTGATTTGTGGACACTAATTTTGTAATCTAAGATGTTACTGAATTTATTTATCAAATCTAGAAGTCCTTTGGAGGAGTCTTTAGGGTTTTCTAAATATAAGATCATATCATCAGCAAAGAGGAATAGTTTGAGATCCCTTTATCCTATTTACGTGCCATTTATTTTTTTCTCTTACCTGATTCCTCAGGCTAGGCATTCCAGCACTATGTTGAATACAAGTTGTGAAAGTGGGCATCCTTGTCTTGTTCCAGTTCTCAGGTCAAATGCTTTCAACTTTTCTTCATTCAATATGATTTTGGCTGTGGGTTCTTCATATATGCCTTTATTACCTTAAGGTATGTTCCTTCTATGACTAGTTTGTTAAGGGTTTTCATATGAATGGGTGCTGTATTTTATCAGATGCTTTTTCTGCATCTATTGAAATGATTATATGGTTTTTGTTTTTAATTTTCTTTATGTGATGAATCACATTTATTGATTTGTGTATGTTGAACCATCATCGAATCCCTGGAATGAAACCCACTGGATCATGGTGAATTAGTTTTTTTGATGTGCTATTGAATTCAGTTTGCTAGTATTTTCTTAAGACTTTTTACATCTATGTTCATGAGGGGTACTGATATGTAGTTTTGTTGTTGTTGTTTATTTTCCTGGCTTTGATGTCAGGGTGATACTAGCTTTGTAGAATGAGTTAGGGAGGATTCCCTCCTCCATGTTATGGAACAGTTTCACTAGGTACCATTTCCTTATAGGTCTGGTAGAATTCAGCTATGAATCTGTCTGGTACTGGGGCTTTTTTGTTGTTGGGAGATTTTTTTTATTATTGATTCAATCTCATAACTCATTATTGATCTGTTCAGGATTTCTATTTCTTCTTGATTGATGCTTGGGCTGTTGTGTGTTTCCGGAAATTCATCCATTTTCTTTAGATTTCTAGTTTGTGTGCATAGAGGTGCTCATAGTAATCTTGGGTGATCTTTTGTATTTCTGTGGTATCACTTGTAATATCTCCTTTTTCATTTCTTATTGAGCTTATTTGAATCTTCTCTGTTATTTTCTTAGTTAATCTAGCTAGTAGTCTATCAGTTTTATTTACAAGCCAACTTTTTATTTAATTGATTCTCTGTATTTTTTTGTTTGTTTCAATTTTGTTTAGTTCTGCTCTGATCTTTGTTATTTCTTCTGCTAGATTCAGGTTTGGTTTGTTCTCATTTTTCTAGTCTTTGTGGGGTGATATCAGGTTGTTAATTTGTGATCATTCTATCTTTTTTATGTAGGCTCTTTTTGCTATGAACTTCCTTCATAGTGCTTTTTTTTTTTTTTGTATCCCACAGATTGTAGTAGCTTGTGTTGCCATTGTCATTCAATTAAAAAAAATATTTTCATGTCCATCTTGATTTCTTCATTAACCTAATGTTCATTCAGTGGCAGATGTTTCATTTTCATATAATTGTATAGTTTTGAGAGTTTCTCTTAGCATTGATTTCTGATTTTATTCCATGGTGATCAGAGAAGATACATGGTATGATTTCAGTTTTTCAAAATTTGCTGAGTCTTGTTTTGTGATCTATCATATGGTCTGTCTTGGAAAATGCTGCATGTACTGATGAAAAAAATATATATTCTGCAGTTTGGGGGTAGAATGTTCTGTAAATATCTGTTAGGTTCACTTGTTCTAGAGTCCTAGTTAAGTCTCATAATTATTTGCTGATTTTTCTGCCTTGATGACCTGTTGAGTTCTGTCAGCGGGGTGTCAAAGTCCCCCAATTCATATTGCTGTTTATTTCTTTTCTTATGTCTAGTAGTATTTTCTTATGAATCTCAGAGCTCTAGTGTTAGGTGCATATTTATTTAGGATTTTTAAATTTATTTTTGAATTGATTCCTTTATCATCATATAATGATTATCTTTGTTTTTGTTTTTTTTCTGTTATTGATTTAAAGTCTGTCTTATTTGATAAAGAATAGCTACTCCTGCTAATTTTTGGTTTCTTGTGAGGAATATTTTTTCTACCCATTTACTTTGAGTCTATGACACCCTTTACAATTTAAATGGATTTCTTGGGCACAGCAGATATTTGGTTTTTTTTTTTTTTCTTTTGTAATCCATTCTAACGATCTATTTCTTTTAAATGGGGCATTTAGACCATTTACATTCAGTGTTAGTATTGATAAATGAGATACTGTTTCAGTCATTATGTTGATTGTCACCTATTTGCTTTGTTTTCTCCCTTGTTTTACCGTTTTACAAGAGCTGTGAATTTTTACTTTAGAGTGTTTGCTGGTGACTGTGGACCATTCTTTTTGGTGTTTAGAACATTTTGAGCATTTCTTGTAGGGCAGGTCTAGTGGTGACAAATTCCCTTAGTGTTTGTCTGGAAAAGATATTCTTTTTCTCCTTCACTTATGAAATTTAGTTTTTTAGGATACAAAATTCCTGACTGGTGGTTATTCTGTTTAAAATTAAAGCTGAGACTCCAATCCCTTGTGGATTGTAAGGTTTCTGCTGAGAAGTCTGCTGTTAGTCTGATGGGTTTTCCTTTGTAAGTTACCTGATGCATTTGTATTGCAGCTTACAAAATTTTCTCCTTCAGTTTGACTTGGCCAGTCTGATGACTCTGTACCTTCATTTGCAATGAATCTTCCAGGAGTTTAATGACTTTCTTGTATACAGATGTATAAATCTCTAACAAGACCAAGGAAGTTT